GATTTCAGGTCACCCCCTTCGCTCGCCTCTTATCAGGGCAACTGAAAGCGACACGAGATGACCTTTGTGAAGGTTGCTGCACAGGGCTCCATATCCCAACGATATGGTTTGAAGATCACCTTGTCGCTGATTGAAGGGCGGTTGATTTGGGCGATGCTAGGGGAAATAAAGGGAAGCCTCTAGGGAACCTTGGTTTCGGGTTGAAGAATTTGCTTCCAGATACCATAGGCTTGGGAGAGGGTCGCAACTAGTCTCGGTGGGAGTCGAAATTGTTGGTCGCTAGGCCCACGATATGATCTGGAATACTTCTGCCAGGAATTGCCAATTCCTATTGTCATGCCAATGGAACCTCCTTAAGTGACAAAGTCGTCTCGTCATAGGGGTAGCACACTTTGGCATCAAAAAAAATCGGGTTTCGCACGTCCGCCATTCGGTGACGGACCGGATGAGCCATTTCGCCGCACGACCAGGAGGCCAATGTGCCTATTCAGGATCAGCTGGCAGTTCAGGCGCTGCGATGAAATGTCGCAAACCGATTTTTCAAGGGGAACCCTCTCAAACGTGGTTGGTGAAAACTCACAGCAGTCTCAGCCAGGGTCTCGGTTCCATTCGCTTCCCCTGCACCGATTTCACCGATACACGCGACGTCTAAGAAAATGATGTCCTACAAAGGGTCCCCAGTTCAAAATCGTAGCCATCTGACACATGTGTCTCTGGCACACTTTGCCATGTCGAACTCAATTTGAACATGTTCAGGTCAAATTCTGGCAGGGCAAGCTTGCAGCATACACAGTTGTCAGATGTTGGTTGTTGGCATCAGGAAGGGTCATGCAGGCAATGGTGCATGATCTGTCAGTGCTGCTAGATGCGTTGTTTTACGCTCAGTCCAAGCAGGGACAGTTTGGTGATTGGTGGTACTCTTGAGAAACAACATGTTTCATGAACTCTAGCTAAACTATACCGTTTAGATGTGGATTCCGCGAGTCGCACTCTTTTCGCACTCTTTTGTCAAAACAAACCACAGGTGGTGCATCAACATAGCCCATGAACCAGTTTGATAAGTTTCCATTATGCACCTGAGTTGGTTTATACAAACCATCAAGGTCAGGCACAATCGAACCCACAACGCCGTCCTTTGGGTCCGGGCGAGCTCAACCCTTATGGCGGTCCTGCGCTTGGGGATTCCTGATTCCCCAAGTGTGAATTCCAGTAATTTGCCCAGATGGATGGTCATTCATCCATCAGCTGCTGGACTGCGATGCAGTGACGATACGACACACGTTCCATGTTACTATATAGGGACTTGGTGGTGAATGGTGCAGCAAGCAATAGAAGTGTGTTGATGGCCTTACCTACCAGGTTGCTTCCAATCATGTTGAGAATTGCTCATGGCAAACTGGACCACAACCCATGTCTGGCTGTTTGACCATGGACTGAAGAGCACAGTGCTCTGCATAAGATCACAGTGCAGGCATCCTCTTGGAAAACATACCAAACTTGCCTGCAACGGTGGATGGAAAGCTGCTCCAAAAGGGGTTGCAAACAAATCTGAACCAGGTGTTTGAAAACCAGGCGCTCGTTCGGAGCTTGGCACTTCATGTCGTGCCTTTTTGTTGTCTCCAAAAAGTGGCACGGCCTTAGTGCCATGGGAGATGCTACGTTGGCTTGAGCCTAAAGACCCAAAGATGAGCAAGCCAAGTACCAAATTGAAAGGGATGAAAGGGGTCCTTTTGTGTTCCCTATTCCGATCAACCTTCTCACGATGTCGAGCAGCCCTGAATGTGAAAAGGAAGACGTGGGTGTTTCTCAGATTATGTATATATGTTCCCGTCGCCCGTCGTCCCCAGCCCGCTGTTCGTGTGATGCGCTGCAATGCGATTTGCTCATTTTGCAGCACGCGACAAGTTGCAGCGCTGTCGCAATTGACAGTGCGCGGTGCCACGACGCAGTTTGTGGTTTGCAGCGCCACAACCAAGTGCCAACCAAGTGCGCTGCAACGCGCCAGTGGCAAACACACTTTGCTTGCTACCCCAGCGGGCGGTGTGGGAACCATGGTCGCGGGGTGCTTTGCGGTCACACTGTGCTACCATTCTCCCCACCCCCCATTCCCACAGGGGGGCGGGGGGGGTGGGAACCATGGACCCCCCCACCCATCCCACAGGGAGGCGGGGGGCTTGTAGGGTCACACTGTGCTACCTTCTCGACTGAGCATGACCATTGGGGGGGGGGGTGGGGGGGGACCAAGGAAGCCTGCATATATACATATGTGAAAACTGTGTCTGTGTGTTTGTTTGTTTGTTTGTGTGTTTGTTTGTTTGTTTGTTTTGAGGGTATCCTTTTCTTTGTTCTGAAGGGAAACAACCCATCTTTAGGAGTTCCCCAATTTGACACAAGCTTGAGTAGGGCTTCCGAGATCCGTTTTGAGTTCGACGGCGGCCGCCGTCGATTTTAAGAACGCTTTGTAAGGTGGTCGGGCTGGCGGGCACATGTTCTGCTTTGCTGTTTGGCCAAGACATGTTTCAAGCTGGTCTTTGGTTGAAGGCTCCCTGAGTCAGTCCGTGGAATGTTATATAGGCAACTCTTGAGAGGGGTACCCCAAAATAATTGTAGATATACGAAACGCCTTCAAGTGTGCAGATGGGCCTCCGGTATCCTGCACTTCACATCCGCCTTGCACAACTATGTTGGGCCACAGTAAGTGACATCTGATTTTGAATCTATCCTTTTGAGAACATCTAAGCCATTTCAAGGGACCTGTCAGGAACGTCGCAATGGTGCTCGCCAGCGCACTGATTGCGTCAGGTTCGCTTGAAGTCCCACTCTCCGAACTGTGACCTCATCGTCAAGGGCCGCGTCATCGGCAAGGACGTCCAAAGTTCGGAACATCGCTGGGGCAAAACTCATGATGTATGGTGGTACATGACGCCTGAGACGCTTTTTCGGTTTTCGCATAAAGGGGGTTGTAACCAAGCCGCCACACGTTTGGCAAGAGCTGTGCGAAGACCCTGTATAACGAATGATACCAAAGCGATTCCCAAAGGATGCCCGAACGATACCCCTTGGTAGTAATTCTAGCCACTGAGCCCGAACTTACTGTTCTTCCAGCATCGCCAGCTAGCGGCAAGCGCAGGCAAATTAAATGAACGTTGCTCAACTTTGGCCATCCAAGTTGGGTTCTGCGAAGCACTGTAATTCGGCAGGGCTCCCCAAAAGCACGATCTTACCTCATACATGGACAGGTCTCACGTGTTACCATTTGATAAGATGTTGCAATCGAAAGAAGATGTTTAATATGCACCATTTTACGGGAAGTGTATTCATTTGTCCGGAGCGATGAGATGTCAAGATCATACTCCTATTGTGAGTTGTGCGAGGGTTTGCATTGGCACGTCCGCGTTGGGGTTCTTCATTTGCAGCATGCGTCCATGTGCAATCATGTTCCTTGCAAGTAATGCACACCATGCTTGTACGTCTTCAGTCGCGCGATCAAAGCATGGGACATCAGCGCTGCAAGCAAGACTGCGCTTGGGCTGCGCTTGGTTTGCTTCCACGTCCGACACCTTCTGTCAGCGGCCACGGGAATCCCCGACGTGGCCAAAGGAATTTGTCTTCGGGTGATTCCCTTGGCCACTTTCAGGGTAATTTTGTCCCCACAGGGTGACCTATGGTATCAGAAGGGTGGATTTTCCGCAGCCATGATGCGGGGAGCTGGGAGCCATGATGCTAAGCTTCATGGTGTCTAAAAGAGTTGTAAAGAGGCGGAGTTCTGCCACTCGGTTGCATGGAGGCAGCCCTTGTTTTAACACCAAGCATACCTGACACTTTTTGCTGTAAGGCTCAGTCCGTTTGATCGACTTTAAATCGACCAGTCCGCTTTTGCGGAATGGTGTTGATTTCATCATCAGCATGTGGATGTGTGTACATAGTGCAATATTGAGCAAGATCATTCCAGGCATGATTTGTGTTTTGCCCTTTCCTGGCTGTGGTTTCTTGGATGCGCCTTGCGCTGTTCGCTATCTGAAGCACGGCATCCCTGTACAGCTCGTTTGAGTCTGTGGCCTCTCGTCAAGAAACGGCTGAAGAGGTCGGCAGTAGCCCATTCATTCCCGCGCCTCGTTCAACCCCCCAGCAAGCATCAGAGGGCATGGGCCAAGGAGTCTGGTGCCCTTTGAGTAATTCGTTGGCCCCGACATCCAGCGCCCGCGTTTGGTTTGGTGGAAACGGGTTTCGCGTTAACTCCCCTGCAGGACCTGGTGGAGTTCGAAACTCCAGACGCCCCACGCCTAGCGCCGTTTTTTGGAGGCGGAGCAGTTGACCGATCCCTTTTGGTTCGTGGGGTCTCCAAAATCTATGCGCCATGATTGTCAAGTGAAACACAACAATTGGGGACAGTCCCCGCTATAGGAGAGGCAAGAAGTCCTTTTGATTCTTTACTGTGTTTGGGGTAGGAAGACATATTTCCGTATACTTCCTAGCATTGATTATGACTTATGTTCCGGGTGGTGGTTGCTCGCAAGTGCTTTCACACAGACCGGGTCAGTCAGAAGTCACATCGCAGGTCCGAGGATTTCATTGCTTGAAGCATTGCCTTTTGAGCAAAGACGTTTGCAAGCAAGCACCTGACCCGAGAGCTGGGTTGTTTAGCAGCTTAAACTCCTATCCGAGTTTCTTCGGTGCTTCTCAAAGGGCATTTTGCGATGTACGACAGCCACTTTTCCAAAGCTGCCTGGGTGGCGCGAATGCGAGTACCGATGAGATGGCTTTGTGGAGAGGGTTGAGCGGGACGATGGCAGCATTCCCCTTCGGGGTTCTTTGGGTGTCTGTTTGCACAAGGAGGCAATCTGTTTGCCTTGTTGTTTCGGGAGCACGACGCGGCTCCACCCCTTGCAACGCACTCTTACACAAGAACTGTGATTCCGCCTCTGCTTCTCCAAAAGCTTTGGGCAGACACCGGGCCATGCTAGCTGTAGTCTCCTAAAGGGATCCCTCTTTTGAAAAAGCAGCCACCAGCTCTCATTACCGGAATGGATGTTTCAGGTTGAAAGTAACGATAGAAATGGTTGGAGTCACCTACGATGTTTTGTTGACAGCGTTAGTAAACCGAGCCGCTAGAGGTTGGACAGTCTTCTCAACGTGGAACATTGACGTGGTTGATCTGGCGGTTTTTTCTCTTGAGCGATACTTTGTGCGCCCATTTTGGGAGGCTTTCCCATTTAGACGAACCTTGGATTTCCATAGCTGTCAATTGGTCCAGCCTCCTGTAACCTGGTTCCGGGCCACCCCCAAACCCGGGATTGGCCTTCCGGCCTATGGCGGTCGCTGACAGAGAGTATGTTTTAACTTGTTGTCAAAGTACCCAACATACAACTTAAATAGCCTTAATCAGCGCCCTCTGATTTAGGCATTGATCGGAATTGCTGGGACTGTTAAAGACAATTGAGTCATGACCCATAGGAAAATAATGTTAGTAGTTGGGCAGAACTGCTATGGGGTCCAAATCGCCACCAAGGCCTCTCCCTCGCCCTTGCGGGCCCTGGTCGAGCAGGGCACCACTTTGCCGGTCTCTGTGCGGGTCGGAACCTCAGCGAGGTTCCTCTGAAACTAGGAAGCCCTCCCTAAAAAGGCCCCGCTGATCAAGAACTAGGCGGTACAAATTATTCTGGGTTCAGAGAGGCTTAGCATGACACTTGTTGCCGGAGAAGCTGCATCTCGTACACACTTCGCGCCACCCTTGCAGAAAACTGTGTCACTTTCCTGAGCTGCGCAAACAACAACTTCATGCTTTGAAAACTTTGGATGCCTGCATTCTTGTGCTGACTATGTTCAATTGCCCGACCCAATCACGCTCGCTTTTGTCGCATCCAAAATGTCTCAGTGCCCGGGCAGTTGCCAGCAAAGATCGGAAGACTGGAGACCCTGGTCACCTGCAGTCTGACCAAGAGAAACCAGATGTTGGCCATGTCGAGGGTCCAGCTATGAAACGACCCAACAAAACTCAATAGCCGAATAGATGTTGTTTGTAGGGAATACAGCAAGCCCTCGTCCCTGATCTCAATGTAAGCCAGGAAAGGGAACCTCAGGTTTTGCTCTTGACCCGCTATGCACAAGCCGGGCCGGGCAACGTCCGTACTGGGTGTGTATGTATATGTTCATAGCTGCATGTACAAATGTATGCATACAGGCTGGCAGGAGGGCAGGCAGGCAGACATATAGAGACACCTATGTGTACATACATATCTATTATCTATCATGGGTACATATCTATAAATCTAAACATATTATATATAGAGATATGTATGTATGTATGTAATATATATATACATGATATACATCAACCGGGAATGAATAGACATCAAACCTGGAGGGTCTGCCAAGCTTTTGTTTCGGACCCTGTGTCTTCAAACTTACAGGGCATGCTCAAGCAACGGATGTGATCGAAGCTATCTGTGGAGAAGAGTGGCAAACTTGTTCGGATTCGATCATTTCAACTTGACACAAAGTTGCTTGCGCCATTTGTAGGTTTGACTCAAAATAGGGACTCCCCCCAAAAGAAACGTGGAGTGGCTTCCTTTGATTGTTTGTCCTCGAACCTCAAACACGACACCCATTCGTTTATATCCCGATCTTGTGGCTTTCGTTGCTTCCAGGTGTCCATTGACGGTGGCTTCACCTGGACGTGGCGCCTGCGGGTTTGGCCATGTGCGATTCGGGCATGTCCAGTCGGGACTCTACGGTCCGTTTGTGATGGACATGATGGACTCTCCAAAACATCCGTGAAAAGTAGGGGACTTTCTAATATACCCATATCCCTCTTGGTACAGGAAAGTTTGTCCGTTTTGCCGGGAAGACGTTGGTGACCAACAAGTTGGCGGGAAGATGTTGTATGACACAGGACTAAATGTTCCTGGAGGTCATGACGTGTGAGCCAATCCTTGCACCGCGGGTTTGCTCTTAGTCGCTGATGCCGGCCCTGAATGCGGGGATTCAAACCGCTTGTCGACTGAGGGTTGCTCCCCGAACTTCCATTTGCTTAAGGATTTTTTGTTTCCCCCCTGTTGGTTTTAAAGGAAACCTATGACTACTGTACATATGTTATTTCCAGGGGGCTTAAGCAAATGGAAGCAAAGCTTGGGAAGCTTAAGAACCCACACTCAACACTCAATTCGATCATCTCCATGTTGCTCCTTGGACGTCATCTTAATTTCGCACTGGGCATGTTTGGACAAATGGCAGCGGACCTTCAAAGGGTCCCACCACCCTCCCAAAAAGATTGATTTGATTCGATTCACAATGAACACCTGGTATTCAGGGAGATGCCCAAAACAATGTGAAGAATCTGTCCACGTCAAAAATACGGTTTCCCCACAAGGACACGGAATCCACGTCCTTGTGGGGAAAGCGAATCCATGTCCTTGTGGGGAAAGCGTATTTTGTCTTGATGCCCAAGTTTGTGCCATGAGAACACCCTTTCACTTCGGGTGGTCATCCACCTTTATGGGGACGGTCCTTTTCGTCCCCAGTGCTTCCTGGAACCATGAAAGCTTGGCTGCAATTTGATCGAATCTTTGGATTTCTTTGTTTCCCCACTCGCCCACACAACTTAAGCTAGCTGGGCGCAATAGCCGCCAAGATGGTAGGTACACAAGAAAACAAATCCATGTTCTTAGAACATAGAGATGTAAATTGCCTGTTTCTCAGTTGCCCACTGGCGCCCTTTTCATTTTTTGGGAAGGGTTCCCCTTGAAACTCAACCAACCAAAAAAAGGTGCCCCTTTTCTTTCCCATGGCCACTGGGCATTTGAGGTTTACCTGGTGGCTTGCCTAAAATCACTGGGCCCGTTGCTCGGACTCCAAGCCGTGCCTGGCCAGGCCGGACCGCTTTGCCGCGCCGCCGGCGCGAGAGCTCGAGCAAACACTGAAGCGCCTTGGACGATGGCGCGACCACCCACAAGCCACCAACCCACCCACCCACCCACCCATCAACCCACCCACCCACCCACCCACCCATCAACCCACCCACCCACCCACCCACCCACCCACCCACCCACCCACCCACCCACCCACCCACCCACCCACCCACCCACCCACCCACCCACCCACCCACCCCCACCCACCCACCACCCCCACCCACCCACCCACCCACCCACCCACCCACCCATCAACCCACCCACCCACCCATCAACCCACCCACCCACCCCCACCCATCAACCCACCCACCACCCACCCATCAACCCACCCACCCCCACCCACCCACCCACCACCCACCACCCACCCACCCACCCCCCCCACCCCACCCCACCCACCCACCACCCACCACCCACCCACCCACCCACCACCCACCCACCCATCAACCCACCCACCCACCCACGCCACCCGCCCACCCACCCATCAACCCACCCACCCACCCACCACCCCACCCACCCCACCACCGCCCCATGGCCACACCCACCTTGGGCTTGGGGTTTTGTGCGGGCCTTTTCATGCAGCATAACAGCGACAAACATGGGGTTTTTGAAGTGTATTGTCTGAAAAGGGCAGCAGTTCTTTTTGGGGGAAAACCAGACATGACTCCCATGTTCAAAGGGGATGCGGACCCCTGTTAAGGGGACCTTCTAACATGATTTGAAGAAAACCTCCAAACTGAGCGGTGGACATAGCCCTCCATGTAAACGATGCCCACCAAAATTTCAGAACGGCGCCCAAATGAATTTCATGCCCATGTGGGCTGTTTGAGCGCCATCCTACTGCAGATCCCCAACTCAACTAATACAAGGGGCCAGGCAAGCGCATCTTTCCCTAGAGCTTGGAACCTAAGTCTAACTATTTGGACCCGTGCAGTGCCAATAAAAGGTAGCCCTTTTTTGGTCTGGAGGTTGCCCATGACCACTGGGGATTGTTGTGCTGCACCTCCGCACAAACCGCCCTTTCTTTTGCAAGCACAAGCAGATTTGCGATTCTTAATAATATAGAGATTGCGTCAAACTTCCAATCTTTGTGAGCCATTTATTGTGTTTTTTTGTTCAGCACTGTGCGAACAACTTCACCATTTTGATCTCGAGCGCATCAACATTAAGACGGAGTCAGCCAAAGGCTTTCAGAAATGGAAGTCGGGGCGGAACTATGTGGAGTTCTTGCGGAGTGTCAGATTGATCTGGTCGCGGAGGGTCTGGAAAAGGAAACAAGCAACAGGTATAGGTGAGACATGGATCATGAGGTTTTTTGTCAGCATCAAGGCTCTCGAATGTGTTGTTCTCCTCTTGTATCGGTTTTCCGAAAACAAGTCGGAGGCTTTGATTCTGCCGGGTGATGGATTGTTTTGAGGGTTTGCCCAAACATTGTTCAAATCAAACACATGACTGGACAAAGGGGCCCCGAATTGAAGGAGATGGTCGGCGAAACGATCTTCATGTCGAGGTGGGCCAAAGCCAACCTTTTTAATTCTGATGTTGGCCTGTTTTGGCAGCACTCTTTAGATATTTGCTCATTCTCCCGACAAGTGGTCCATGAAACCTCCAGGTCCACGAATCACTCAGGCTGCTGGGCTGCTGAGTTTCATGAAACAGGCAAGAACAAGGGCTGAGTGTTGTTTGTTTTATGGAACCCTGGAAACATGATATGCGAGGCTTTTGGCAACAAGGATGCAATGAGCGGGTGGGTTGTCAATGTAATGATGCAATGCGCAAGCCGTCAATGTTTGCGTTACTTGTATCATAGGGGCTCACGCAAGTATTGTTGAAGCTAGATTGCAAGGAATAATATTATACTGCTTATGTGCATTGTTCATTTGCCAGGAGTGCACTTACCCGCTTATTTGAAGCTGCAGGAAGTGGCATCGGTGGCCACGTTCGCGAACACACACACACACAGAGTTCTTTCTACCCTTGAAGTTCTGCATCACGCACACATTGTTGATGTGCCGACATCCCGCTGTTGCTTTGTTTCTTGTGTTTAATGTGGTTGCGTGTTTGTTTGTTGGTTGCTAGGTAGGCGAGCTGGGTTGGCTTGGGTTGGGTTGCGTTTGTTTGTTTGCTTGTTTGTTTGTGTGGTTGTTTGTCTTTTGTTTGTTTTGTTTTCCTTGTTTTGTTTGTTCGTTTGTTTTCTCTTATTTGTTGTTTCCTTTTCTTTGCTTTTCGTCTATTTCATTCGCACCCCAGGCCCCAGCCTTTTGCCTTTTGCCAAACATCAAAGGCAGCTGCCTGGTGAGCAGCAGCGCGCGGGCTACGGGCTCTCGCAAGGCGCGACTCGATTCGGCGCAGCGCGGCCGCGCTCTGCCCAAAAAAGGCTCCTGAGGAAACATGGAATACACCAGGCAAGTCTGTGGAAATAGCAGAAATGTAAAGAATAACGGTCTCTCAACAGTTTAAGCCGCAATTGAGCCACCATCAAAACCCGGGTAGACGAAGGTTAGTAAGGGAAAATCCTAACCATCATAGCTGCGGATATCCGCCTTCTTGATTCTTTACCTGGCTCTGGGTAGACCATGTTGATACCGGGTTTTGATTATGACTCTCCTGGCCTACCTAGGGTCTCCACTTTTACAGAATGGGTCCATGACTTTTTAAGTTTGGGCGATGACTTTTTTTAAGGGTCATGGAGACTCCAGGTACTAAAGTTCACCCCGGATTAGTCAACCCCTAGTTCCCTGGTGGATTTTGATTGCGGGGGTGTCCCGATTCTTTTAGTGGGGATTCAGACCACTTTTGGAGGGAACACCCCCGTATTAATGGGACGGGTTTGTTAATCCTGGGTCAACATTATTTTTTTTGTTTGCCAACGGTACAACTACCAATAACCAGCTTCCTCCAGGTCGATAGTTTGGATTGGTGGTGTGGAGGTTAGAGGGTGGTTCCCATTTACCCAGTTGAAATCCTAAAACCAACAATCCCAACCACCAGCGAAGGGTTCCCTGACATGTCAGTTTCCCTCCCAGGACCTGACGTTTGGGGGGGGCCCGGGGGTCGTGGTTTGGACCATTTTCCTTTTAGAGGGACCGGGCCCCTGGGTTCCATGTCAATGGGTGGGCAGCTAACTGACAACATTATAGGCAACCTCTAGCTGGTGGTTTGGATTGAGGGGTTTGAGAATTTAGACCCCTGGCTCTTGTAGAGGGTAAATGGGAAACTGCCCTGTACCAGCAAACCACCAATCCAATCCACCAAATGGAGGGAAGCTCACTCTTGGTAGTCTACTGTTGGCAAAATCAAGTAGTCTACTGTTGGTTTTGGGAGGACGTGATGCGGCAGCATGTCCCGCATAAAACCAGGGGGACCCATGTCCTCTTGTGGAAGACATTATGTTGTTTGTGGGTCAGACACTACTTTTGAGACAGGTTTTCCTGGAAACGCCCATTACGAAGCATCGCTTTTCCGTCCAAGTGAGATTCCGTTGTTCTTTATTCCGATTTGCAGCACGCTTAGCAACCCTGCCGTGAAGGGCCACGCCGCAAAACGGCCTCACCCATTTGAGGTTGGTCTCGCAGATGGACAGGCAGGTCTGCAAACACCCGCATTCTGCCGGTTCCGCGTCAGAGTGCGCAGGAACAAGTTGCGCGCAAATTGTTCTGGTTGCGGTTTGAGTATCGTAGACCAGTTGGGTCAGTGAGTGAGCCACTTGCTTGGCACCAGGCCCCAAGGACATCCAGAGCGGGCTGTCTGAGGTGAAGGGCGACTTCGAGGCGTGCCATGCGCATCGGAATCCCCCCCATATCCGGTTCCCAGACGAAGTGAGACAAAGAACAGAAAGTTGCCACTAGGAGCTCAGCTTCCAAGCATGTTGCGGTTGCGAAGCACTGGAAAGCAGAGGAAGCTAGATGACCCGTGTCGCCACACTCAAGGCATTCGCTGCCCCACCTCCAAAGGGAAGCGGACATCAGATGGAGGACTTGGGTTCGCCAACTCTGTCACGTCTGATTGGGCGATCCATTCGGAAATCCCGGCAACCAGAAGAAGCCACCCGGGCCCACCAGGCTTCCTGTGTGGTGTCCCCGACTCCTGCTCGACTATCGCCCGCACGGACCAAACCCCAAAAATTGGCATTTGATTCTGCCTTGGGGATTTCCCCGTTTCTTGAAATCGCGCGTCAAAACCCGTTTCCCCCACCGCTGGTCTGCCAAACATTTTGTCTTCATGGCCACCCCCACCTGTCCCAGGCGCGGAGGAAGGCCATCAAGATCACCTCCCAGTCCGCGGCCATGCTGTGGCCCGGGACTCGGGACCGAACGAACGGTGGGGCGATGATTTCCCCTTTTCTGGTCCTGTTTAGGTTTGTTTGCGGGTGTCCAGGTCCTGAGCCCGCTACTGTGGGCAGGGGAGAGGGTTGGGGATGATATGAAGCTATGAAGCTGTGGGTTTGTGCTTATAGTGGCTTGTTGAGTCTGAGTGAAAGTTTGTGGTCTTGTGCAGGATTGTTGTTTTGGTTGTGTTTTTTCGTTTGCTGAGCTAGTGGTCAAAGGGAACAGGATTCAAGTGAAAGGATTGCATGTGGCATCACCGAAGCACATGGAAGCCGGAAAGCGAAAGCGAAGCTTTTTGTGTAACCCAAACGCGCAGTTCTCTTTTTCGACAAATGCAAAAACATTGCCAGTGCAAACTTTGAGACATTCCCACGCGGGGACTCAAAGAAATTGGTCGAGCTGAATATTATTTTTAGGCGACCTTAGATCTCCTGTGGCATTGAAGTGGGGCATAAAGATGATCCATTTTCGGCCATCCAACCCTGATGCATTTGCGTTCTAGTCGGACGTGGCTTGTAGCCCCAGTGTTGGAGCGGATATCACATGTCAGTGGGTTCCAATCGCTTGCACGGGACACAAGTCAGCCCTTCTCAAAACGGCAGCCCATGTGTTTCTCATCGAAGACATGGCCTCGGCTTGCTGTTTGAGGCTTTGCAAATGGCCTACGGAAGGGCCTACACAAGTAGAGCCAGGCGGGGGCTTTGTTTTTCGCCCCGAGGGCATGGCCGGTGACTTGTTTTCAAGCCTGAAATGGGGACCCAGGTGTTGTCCAACTTTTTTATTGTTTTTTTTTTTTTTTTTTTTTTTTCTGTAATACCTTTTGGTGTATATTTGCAGGTTGGGGGTCAAACAAAGACAGGTCGATGGGAAGCACCTCAACCGCTGGCCCCATTGAGAGATCAGGACCTCATGGTTGGGACACATGGGCACGAGTTTGGCTGTCTGTATTCTTGAAATTAGCTGTTGATACTTGTTGTTTCAAGCAGTTGAATGTTTGCAACTGTCGTGAGTTCATTGGGCGAAGTTTGCCCCCGAGTTGCCAGATCTGGAGAGGTGCTGTACTGTGGATTTCCAACACATTAACAGCGAGCAACCGGGGACAATGAAAGTTGGCAAAACCTTTTGCACAATTTTGGGCCTATTGCTTGATTAGATGTAAGCCAGTTAGAAGCAGCACTTGGGCGAATCGCAAGGTTTGACACGAGGTAGCACGTGTTGGGTTCAACAAGCAGTTGCCGATCAAGCAGAGCTGCAAAGTAGTTCATGGTTGAAGGCAGAAATCACCTTCAGCGTCCGGCTGGACGAAGATTGCCGCCCCTCTGAGGGGGTGTCACCAAGCAAAAAGGAGATGAAACTGGTACCGATGAGTCACGGCAAGAGTCACTGCTTGATGGGGAAGCAGCAGAAACTCGCAAGCGAGCCTAGCTAGGCAAACGGTTTGGGGCCAAAGGGGACATCAAGTTTATTTGAATCGTTATTTGACTGAATCTCATGTGGACGAAAAAGAAGAGACACATTGCCATAGCAGCTCATTGACAAGATCCCTGGCATGCATTCCAGTCAGGTGCGCCATCCATGCATGATTGCTTTTCATGAGAGACCGGCCACGTGTGGAAGCCACATGGCCATAAGGTCACACGTTGTTTCTCGCCAATTTGCATATTGTTGCACCGTGTTGAGACCAGATTGGGATCCGTGAACCAAGCACTTGATTGCTCCCTTCCGACTTGTGCAGCGAACCGAAACAGAGGTTCCCCCATTTGAGATATTAGAATTTGTGTTTGCAAATGGTGGAGCCCTTAAAGTGGGTTTTGTTTCTGTTGCGTTTCCCCTGAACGCAACTTCAAAACGGCTACCTTCAACAGAGACCTGTCCATCCCGTGTCCGAGCATCCAGGCTGCGCCCCAGTGGACGGAGGCGCGAGGTTTGGGTGGGGTCCCTTCCTTTGGCCAATTCCCTCATGGCTATGGGTTAAATTTATATAAACCATAAACCAATATGTGACCCGGACCACCGTTTTAGTCCTGGTTTCCGTTTACCAGGGTTCCGTTTTAAGTATATAGCCATTTTTGACCCACATCCCATCCACATAGGATTCTATGTGTTCACCAGTGTTACTGGGCTGGGGATAGCTGAAGCACCAAGATGACACCATCGGCATACAAGTGTAGTGGTGCATGTAGGCAGAGTTGCAGAATTCGGAGTCTGAATGGTTCCCATGTTTGTGAATGTCGCCAAGGTTTCCTTGGTTTGCTTGTATTGGTTGATTCGGAGTCTCCTAAAATTGCATCAATGGCAGGGCTGGAACTACCCAAACTGGCCGCTTGATCAGCCTCGTCAATATCCTCCAACATGGTAAAAACAAAATGAAGACGTGGGTGAAGCGGCTGTTGTCTTCCGATGTTGTGTTTATTGCCTTAGTTGTTTTTGTTTTGCTGCGGGGCGTTCTGATTTCCCATATACCTCTTGCACCTCTTCAGGCTTCGCAAGATGCACGGTTCAACAGGCAAATCAGTACCATGCTCCGCTGAAAGTCGGCATGCTGCGGGATGCCCCAGGGGCCAACAAAATGTCTCAAGGGTTCTCAATATGACTTTCGGAGGCATCTTTTTGATGAACTTTGCCAAATCACCTGGAATTGTTTATTCTCCCGAGAGGAAGCCACAAGAGAATCATCGCGTCTCGGAACTTTTTGCAGAGTAGTCCTATACTCGGCATCTTGCAGATTCAATGCGTTTGCTCTTGCCTGGCTCACCACATATCGATTTTCCCCCCCCCCCCCCAAATAGGTGGTGTTCCTCCAGTGTTCCAAATCAGGCCACCCCGAAACGAATACCAGCTCCCAAAAGGAGACACCTCCTCAATGTGTATCCCAAAACTGATGGTGTTGCTACGTATAATTTCCCTTTTTTACCCCACAAATGACAAAGAGCGTAGCCTTGCGAGGCTTTCGACCTTGCAGGTACGGAGGTTCTGATCCACGTGGCGTTGCCTGCGAGGATGCCCACAGACAACTTGACCGCCAGGGGCCCCAACAATCGTCGTGCCAGCGCCTTGCACAGCGGGGTGAGGTTCCAGGGTGACCAACTCAATCCCTTGTTTCAACATGTAGAAACCAGAAAGCACTTTAAAGGCGACCAGGGGTTGGTTGTTGAAGGCAAATGTGAAGGCGACCAGGAATTGGTTCAAGGCAAATTTGCCGAAGCCAGGTTCTCGGCAGGGTCCCCCCGCCCCCAAAGGAATGACGCCCATGAAATGCTACACCGCAAAGCACTACGGTTTCTCTCACGCTCTGTGAGGATGTCCTACTCCGGAATCCTTGCCGGGTCTCAGTAGGGTTGCAGGAGGAATCATTTATGGTCAGAAGGTAAAATAGGTCTTGAGCCTAGGGGAGGATTTCTTGGAGGACAAGAACACCAAGCCTTGCTTTGGGGGTTGTTTGAGAGCCATGAACAAGCCCCCTAAGTCGGCATGCGCATGTTTAATCAAAATCAATAGTTACCAACTCCGGGCATATCTTTCATCGTTGGGGTCAACTTGTGTGATCATGCGTCATGGCGAGGGAGCAGCTTGTCAATCATTCCCTCATTTCTTAGCAGTGTCCTCATTTCGCGGTGAATGTTTTGGATGGCTGGAAGCATGAACTCTCCTTTTCTGGCAGGGGCGGTTCTGACAGCGCCGTTCTGAGGCCCTCCCTCGGGCATAAGCAGCTGGACTTCTTGGCTTGCCATCCGATGCTTTCGTGGCTCGAAAGGCCAAGGGATTGACATCCCAATTTTAGCAGTGTCACTGCTGTTTCTTTTCCGGCATGTGCTGCGAGGGGATTTGCAACTTCATCGGTTCAAACCGAGGACTTCAGATTCTGTTGGCTGTTAGTTCAGTGTTGCTGGGCCTCCTTTGTGGCCTCAATCTGATCGCCACCGTCGGCCTCTATAACGATACGGAAGCTACTACCCCGGGGACCGTCTCATCCTACTTCGAGTTCTACATGGGGACCATCTTCGCTGCGTACTACACGGGCTTTCCGGCGGTCCTGCTGTGGTGGGTGGTTTTAATCTCACGCTGCTGCGCGCCGTGCTGTTGTACCATGAAGGACGTGCAATGCCCCTGCCCCTGCACGCGATTTCATCTCCTAGATGTGCCCTTCTACGTGGGGATGTATTTGTGCCTGTATCCGATCGGCTTGTGGTACTCCATCGAAACTGCCGAATTTCGTGAGTTCTACGACTATGAAGCAGACGTTTGGTATGATCCTGGTTTGTGGCAGTTCCTCGAAATTGTGCAGCTGCTTGGGGTGTTGCTCTTGTTGCTGGCATTTCCCTTGGGCATCTTGGCAGCTCCCAGCCATACACGTTTAGAGCCGTGCGCCAAATGATATTAAAGTTTTAGCCAGGACTAATGAACCAAGGCGGCCATGGGGCATAACCTATGGCTCCATTTTGGGGTGGATGGCCACCTATTTTGACCAGGGGCTTCCTGGGTTTTCACAACCACAGCCAGGCATCTGGAAGTTTCTGAAGATGAAGACTCCATCAGCCCCAGCTGCCGCGGCGCCAGTAATCCAGGCCCAGGTGGTTGGCACTGCGGTGGCGGTGAATACGTCGAATGAGAACGACACGAACAACATGGCCTGAGACCTTGTGGAGGGGTGCGTTTGCAAGAGAAGGACTTCAATTTTCTGCGTGATGAACTCCTATGAAGGGCTTGGAGGGAAAGGTCCTTGAATATCATCCAAACAACCAACCAGTAGGGATTCCCCGTTTCACACTGGGATCACGTATTCCAGCTCGAAAGCCTGCTTGGCAAAGCCGCGCTGAACTAAAAAGCTGGTTGGACTCTTTGGCAGTTCTGATTTTGACGCTTTGAGCAAATGTTGCACAGGAATTCAACGTCTTTGCAACAATCGCGAAGGAGTTCAAAGTCTGATTTCGCAAATTACAACTAGGTCCCCCAGCAGCCCAGCAGTGCCCTTTTTCCATTTTTGGGGGGAGGGTTTCCCTACTAAAATGGACTACTGAAAAAAGGGTACCCTTATTCTAGCCGCTCTACTGGAGGACCTACACAACAAATTAGGGGTGTTTCAGATTGTATGATGTTTCTTCTGGGTCCATAAACGAATTTCACGTCCTCAAAAGTACCCTCATGGTGGTTTACAGGAAACTGCCGGGTCCCAAACGTAATTTTGAGAACCCTCCAACTTGCAACCATTTTCAGGGACCCGGTTAGGCATGTGTCAAAATAGGCGGACTCTAAACATGATGGTTGCCCTTTTGGTTTCCCTTTAAGTCAAGCTGAAGAGGGTACCCTCGGTACCCTCACCAAAAATGCACGCCCAGTTCTTGCTGGAGGCGTTTGCCTTTGACACCAAGCACCTGAGGTCAAGTTCCTCTGCACGCCAAAGAAGTCTCTCAACGACCCGGAGTTGGAGGCGCGGAGTTGCTCGGTGGGCGGTGCTTCTGAAACGACCCTCTTTGGGTGCTGAATCGCCGAACTTCGTCACATTCAAGAGAAGTGTTAGGCAGCAATCGCTTCCAGTCCCTCTGTTGAACCTTGGAGAAATGGCTACCTTCAGGGGTTCCTTTTCCAGGGGCCGATTGGACACAAGAACGCGGCCAATTGAAAAGAACGCAAGACTTGCTGCCTTTTGGATTTTCCGTATTTTTCTTGTCAACCAAGAAACAGGTAACTTTTTGCGGGTGCCTAAATTTGGTCAAGCCAAAATTGTAGGTTTTCTCCTTATGGTAATGCCAAGCTGGTCCCAAAGTATTCGGCAAAAGGACACCCTGACTTCTGCGTGAATGTCTACCAAACGCCATGTGGGAGTTTCTCAGAATGGCAGAATTCGTTTGGTTGGAATTTAAAGTTCACACCAAAAGGACGCCAACCATGTTGGCGGAGAAACACCAATGTGTTCCCCCCTTTTCGTTTGCCGACGAAGCCAACCAGTGTTCGGCTGACTAATAGGACACAACGACACGAAGATCATTGCAGCCCTCCTAAAACGGCCATGGGTTTTCCCAGTTTTGAGCTTAGTATATCACGAACAAAGCGTTCCTCGGATGCTGGGTCCGGGGTGTGTCTCAAAATAAGCCACTTCCAGATTGCTTCCTAAAACTAGGGACACCTCTTGGTGAAACACTAGAAGATTTATATAAAACTCCTTTTTCAAGGCACCAGTGCTCAACGTTTTGGTGAAATGGACCTATCGGGTTCTATAGATGGCAGCAAGTGCAGGAGTTCATGCCGTTTTGCGTAAAAATCCATTGGGACTTGTCTGGATGTACCGAAGAATGAAGGGGACCCCCCCAAACTGGTGGGTTTCCATGGTTGTTGTTGGGCAACATGTTACATTTTTGCTTATTGTGGTTTCAAACAGTGGGAAATCCCCACTTAACTGCTAAGATTTCGATTTCTGCTCCCCTTCCAACGTCAACCATGTTCCTTGAGTTCCCTTTAAAGCCAGCCCAACCAGACCTTTAAGGGCTTAAGAAACAAAATCCTTCCCCCCCTTTTTTCCCAGGCGAAGGCGCCCATGCGCCGCGACGCCGCAGAGATCACGAACCCGGACAAGGAGACTGTGGCCAAGTGCCTCGGTTTGAGAATGACACGGCGGCGGTTTCGGAATTGAGTGCGAGTGCAGGGAACGGTACAAGTTGGGGTTCCTAAAACCCATGGGGTTTCGCAGAGGATGTTCCAAAAACCCATGGGTTTCGCAGAGGATGTTCCAAAAACCCATGGGTTTCGCAGAGGATGTTTGAAAAACCCAGGGGTTCGCAGAGGATGTTTCAAAAACCCAGGGGTTCGCAGAGGATGTCCAAAAACCAGGGGTTCGCGGAGGATGTTCCAAACTCCCAGGGGTTCGCAGAGGATGTTTGAAAAACCCATGGGTTTCGCAGAGGATGTTGTAAAAACCCATGGGTTTCGCAGAGGATGTTCGAAAACCCATGGGTTTCGCAGAGGATGTTCCAAAAACCCATGGGGTTTCGCAGAGGATGTTCCAAAAACCCATAGGGTTCGCAGAGGATGTTGTAAAAACCCATGGGGCACGCAGAGGATGTTGTAAAAACCCATGGGTTTCGCAGAGGATGTTCAAAAACCCATGGGTTTCGCAGAGGATGTTCCAAAAACCCATGGGGTTTCGCAGAGGATGTTCCTAAAACCCATAGGGTTCGCAGAGGATGTTGTAAAAACCCAATGCGTTTCGCAGAGGATGTTGCAAAAACCCATGGGTTTCGCAGAGGATGTTCCAAAAACCCATGGGGTTCGCAGAGGATGTTCCAAAAACCCATGGGTTTCACAGAGGATGTTCCAAAAACCCATGGGGTTCGCAGAGGATGTTTCAAAAACCCATGGGGTTCGCAACAGGACTTCCAAAAAAACAACACACCCAAAGGAGTTTTGGCAAGCTTCCTGTAATACAGCGAAAGACCAATGTGTTTTTTCATGCGGCTGGTTTTGAGTTGTCAATGTGGTGTCCTTGTTGGCCTCGGGTTCTGCCCCGGCCGCCTGGGGATACCAAAAGCGGCCCCGTCCAAAAATTGCGCAGCTCCCAGGCTGCCCCTTGCCGGTGTACTGGAGGTGCCAGTGCCGCGGCTGCAACAGAGCATGCTACTTGGGACTTGGTAGAGTCAGATATGGTGGCTGTCACCACCCAAATTCCTGCAAGTCATAAATCATATATTGCATGCACGTGTGCACTATAAAAAGACAGATACATATTTGCACAGGGCACCCAGCCAACATGTGGGTGTGCGTCAAGTTGGGAACCTCAAAACTGTATTTCGTTTTTTCGTCATCCCAGAAAGAAAAAAGAAAAGCATGATAAAACAACTTGAACAGGGCACCCCTCAAACAGGCCCACGCCCTCATGCACCGGGAGAGCTTTTTGAGGTCATCGCATTCTTGGACCCTGGCGGCCGCGGGGTGTGCTGCGCCCGGCACTCAAAATCCGAAGGGTGCGCGGCCCTGGTCCGTGGGTGAGGCTGGCCCTGTTCCGTTTTGTGCCAATCCACAGGTTGCCGCCGCCCGTGGTTGCCTCAGCTGATTCTCGAATTGTTGTGCTTAACCCCGAAGTACGGGTGAATGACGATTGAACGAAACCCAGTCGAAACGCTTGTCCAACGCCTCGTCGAAACCCCCGTGGAAGCCCCCAGACCCGGAAGCATGTTCTCAGGGGCAACTTCCACATACTCTGAGCACTTGTTGTTTCCCAGGATGTGTTTTCTTGTTGCAAGAAGAAAATTGAAGCATACGAGCTGGCGTGGCCAAACCTTCAGAGTGAACGGCATTGCAAGTAGAACAGATGCGGCACGCCAAAAAAGCATCCGTACAAGAGGAAGGCTCAACACCGACCCAAGCCCATTGTACCAACTTTCGTGTTCAATACGCACAGGTTGACAGTCTTACGTTGCTAAAAGGCTACTCAATGGCATCGAACCCTCCAAAATGGCAAGTGGACACAACTTCACATGCAACTGATGTCCACCAAAGGGTTCCCAAACAAAACCATACCCAGATACGGTCAGAAGGTGTCCGGGACTTTCCGATGAGACCCACTCCTTCTCACGCAGCTGCTCCTTCCCTGCAAGGGTTTGGTCAACCAGCTGTTTCAACACGTTTCCTCAGCCTAATGTTCAGACAACCTGTTGGCTACCTTGCCTAAGGGCTAATGTTCAGACAACCAGTTGGTTCGCTTTCCTGCCGGTTTCAACCTGTTTGCTCAGCCCATGGTTAGGTTTTCAGGGAGCCTGGCGTGTCTTTGCTGCGCCACTCCATGGCTCCACGCCCAGACTTCGCCTCCCCTGGATGCGGAGAGCGCCCCGGGGCCCAGGAGAGGTGCCTTTGGGCCAGACTGGGGGCCTGGGCCTGGTGGTCCAGGTGCCCTCTCTCTGATGTAAAGTTCGATCGGAACGGGAAGAAACCATCAGAAGTTCGAGGGTCAAAGAGGTCGGGAAGAAGGAAATCGGATGGCACTCGCAAACCGTGCCCACTTTGCTCGCGTGAAAAGCGGATCGTGCCTTCAGGATCAGGTTCCCTCGCGCTGGCAATGTTTCGATCCTCTAATCTAAGCTGGCAGATTGCCAGCTTGTCTTCTGTTTGCAATCCAGTCAATCCAGTTGGTTTCCAAGTAAATATTGCATAGTAAAATGGGGGATGGTGGGCTGGTCTCTTAATTCCCAGTTCAGTTGGGGGCTCTGATCTGATCAGAGTTTTTTGGGGGTTCCCAGTTGTCATTTTACTCAGCACACTGAGGATGTGTAGGGTGGCCGCATGCAACTCACCACTAAGGAGCATAGGCACCTTCCACTGGGAAGGTGTCCCAGCAATCTCGTGTTATTTGCGTAATTATGCCATGTTGTTGTTTCTTTGCGAGCCATGTGAAATTTTGGAACATTTATTTGGATCACGTCTGTCTGTTTGGATCACGAATCGCGTGCTACGAGCAGTCGGCTGCGAATACCGAAATGTGGGTTTAGGGAAGGCTCCCAACCTTGCTGGTGTCAATTTTGTCACGCATTCGCTTGTTTAAATTGCTTCTGCGAGCTGTGCGAAAGAATAAGATGGCCAATGCCAAAGGAACCATGATTATTTTTGTCGTGGCCACAAGGGGTTGACCTCCCGAAAAGCTGGGCTACGGGTCTAGGAGGTGTATCCTGAACGAGGCACGTTGCACAACAGCGTATATCAAATAGAGATCATGGGGCGGGCGGTGTGTTTTTCAGGATACAACTTTTGGGTTGGTTTAGAGGGAAACTAAAAGAAACTGATGACTTTGAGGTCCCCTAATTTGACACATACACACATGTATTTGTTTCTCGGTCACGTAAAGGGGGGGGGAAAGGTCGCCTACTACAACTACTCGGTGATGGTGTCGCTGGATGGCCACAACTACTTGCCGCGCTGGGAGCCCAAGAGGGCGAGCAAACCGCGTTTTGTCAGGCGCAGGGTTCAGCAAATAATTATGTGCATACATACTATAGGTTCTTTTGCAGTTCAAGAGGACTCATCTCAGAAGCATAGGGACGCCTTTAGTTTAGTTTCAATAGATATACATGATTAACACTGCAGTTCTGTGCAAGGTGGGAGGGGCAGGCGAGCCTTGAGCGGTTGCGTTTGGGTTCTGCGCCGTGGTGTGTTTGCTTAGCAAGCATGGGTGTGTCTCCAATCTTCGGCCCCCCCAAACAAACATATTGGTATCCTTTGGGGTCCTTCAACACGAGCCAAAAAGGGGTCCTGAAAACAAGACGCACCCACGTACACAGTGTTTGGTTCGTTGGGATCCGTTGGCCTCCCAGCTGAAATTCCTCAGGTTCGTATGCCCGAATTCATCAATAATACTATGTACACCCCGTCCTTCGGAGGACTGAGAAGTCTGCGTCTCTGCCAACCCCGCAACCGTTTGGGAGTCATTGGTTCTCACCCAACCAAAGCAAACATCTCAGCTTTCAATCAGTTGGTCCGCGCACCCAGCTGGCGGGTGATATTTTAACGCAGCCCTGTTCCCTTAGGAGAAGTTTAACGCCAGAGGACTTGACAGAAGCCCTGCCGTCATTCTGCAGAACGCAACACATATCACAGAGGAGCTGTTTGAAAATTCAAAGAACCCCCACCTTTGTGGGTTCCATGTTCATTTGCAGGGGAGCCTTTGTCCCGCTTTCAGGCCCGCTGCCGTTCCAAATCTTCGACATCCATGCCTGCGGCTCAAGAGCGGCGAAGAGAGGCCCACACACTGGCCCCACTCTCCTTCGGGGTTTCCAAGCATTACTTGAAGTGAGATGGGGTTGATGGGATAAGCTCAGTCATCAAGCAGTGTAATTAAAAGAGGGGATGATTTGCCTCTCGTTTGCATACAACATTGACAAGTGTTATCTCACTCTGACATATTCCCCACATCACCCATATGTATACCCATATACATATATATATGTATGTATGCAGGTGCAAAGAGTTTATTGCTGTTTCAAACATTGGCAGAGACTGCAGATGCTTGCTGGTTTGCTGTAACATTCGGCGGCGTAGGAGACTGGAGCAACTTGGTGCAGAGCTGCGTACAGCATGCAGAGTGTTTGCCTCACTCTGAGTGTAAGGGAACACTAGCAGAACGAAATAGGGAGCCCCGGTGGAATAAAGAAGCATGGTTACTTTTTCCTTCGCCCTGAGGTTCAAACCAACATGAAAACAATGGGGGTTAATATAACCACGATTGTTTACCTAAGGATTGTCATCATCTAAATTGGGTCAACCATTCTTTTAATGGGGGTTGAACCCCAGGGTTAGATGTTTGCGCCGTGTTCACGCAAACGCGCTGTGGGTTTCTTTCTCAAAGCCAATAGGCTCTCGTTCAGACGTGTGTTTCGGATGTTTTTGACACCAAGGCGAGGAAGAGGTACCATGTGTGAGTTCCCGAAATTGGGAGACACCCCAAGATGATTGCAGGACCTTAGTTGCTGACACTGTTACAACTGATCAACAGGGATCCCATGAATCCCTTTTTGCAGAAATCACCCATTTCTGGAAGCATAAATTTAGACCAATTTTGCGTTGAGAAGAAATAAAACCCGTCAATCCTGCGTGAATCCGGGGGGGGGGGGGGGGCGGACGTTTAACGGCTTTTTTGCAGATTCAACCCCTACAGTAACACAATACCTTGAAGAAGGATTGCAACACAGACCCGTGTCCAGCATTCTGGGGGGCAGGGTTCTCTGAGTTTCTTCCCCTAGGATTTTGTTGTTCACGTCACCTTGGGGGCCACGTCTCAGCGAGTTGTTTTGTTGAGTCATGTTTTTTTGGGGGGCAGCTACACGGAACCCGCGCCCCCCGGCCCGCCGCCTTGCCGGGCTGCCGGGCTGGTGGTGGCCAACAGAGCTGCCCAGGTGGCAGAGCTTCAGCCGCAGCTGGGAGTGCTGACGGATGCCACTGAGGTGGGATATTGGGTATCAAGGGGGGTTTCCCTTGACCATAGATTTGTGTGTGTGTGTGTGTGTGCTATTTTACCTTGCTTTAAAGGGAGGGAGGTTTCCCTTGATGATAGATTTGTGTGTGTGTGTGTGTTTGAAAGCTCAAGAACCCACACTCAACACTCAATTCGATCATCTCCATGTTGCTCCTTGGACGTCATCTTAATTTCGCACTGGGCATGTTTGGACAACTGGCAGCGGACCTTCAAAGGGTCCCACCACCCTCCCAAAAATATAACCTGGTCCAAATTGATTTGATTCAACATGAACACCTGGTATTCAAGGAGACTGCCCAAAACAAAGTGAAGCATCATACGGGCATGCTGCCACGCCTGTGTATGGTTAGGACTAGCTATTTTACCTTGGAAAGCGAGGGACGGACGCCAAGAGGAAAACCAAAATTTGGTTTGGGTTCACCTATTCTGACACATCCCCATCGACTGCGCTTCCTTCCCATAGCCACTGCAGGTCCGGGTCAAGGGTCCCCCTCACACTGGTTCGCACTAGGGGCTATGGACTGGGATTGGCTCAGCCTCCGTTCTCAGCAGACTAGAGAAAAGTAGTTCAATCCCTCAAAGTAATTGGGATAAAGTTGGTTGAGTTGGACTTATGGTTGACTGAGAAATTCCGCGAGCACATTCGCAAGCAAATGCTCTTCTTTTTCCCACAGGAACCATCGATCTCTCACGAGCCATTGGACTTGTCCAGCGCTTGGTTTCCCTTTGAGCTCCAGGCCGCAGGTCGATGACTAAGATGGCAGCCCGTCCAAGCCAGGTATCCAGATGACCCATGTATGTGCCCGAACCCTCAAGCTACCCAGAAAGAATGGACTTCGCCCCATAACTTTGGGGCTATAACCCATTTCAAAGGGAAGTTTAAGGGTTCAGGTATGATGTTTTAGGAGGTGTGGTCGGCTTTGTGTTGCACTATCCAGTCGGCAGGGATGGTGGTCATGCGGAAATGATTTGTCACCACGCCGCCACTTAGAAAGAGCCCCACATTGCCCTTTGCACATCCACACTCGCACAATGGGCACGTGCATACAACTGGGCCCCCCGCATGATGCATATTATGAATCCCGGTTGGTGAAGCACGTCGTGTACAGAAAGGCACTCATACCTGCGTCCAGTTGGGAGTGGGAATTGATCCGACCTTTTGAGCCAAAGTCATCCGGCTTCAGTTGCCTAACCTTCACACGGGGGTTGTAAAAGAGACAAACTGGATCGCCTTGTTTGTGCGATTTACGTCTTTCGTGTTTTATCAACACAGATGCAAAAGCGATACACACTCCGGACTTTGCCTCTGACCTTCCAACTGGCACAAAGATCACGCGTCGAGTCGGGCCAAAGGTAGGGGCCGGCACAGACATCGTTGCCTGCAGTGCTTTCGATCCTACTGCAGTAGATAAGCTGAGGAGACAAGGAATTGGACCAAGCCACGACAAGAAAAATGAAACAGCAAGCATCCAGGAAAAAATACTACTTGCTAAATAGAATTCTCGGTCTTTCGCGCCCCCTCCTTAGGAGTGCACATAGAATTCTCGGTCTTTCGCGCCCTTTTCTGAGGAGACACAATCTTACGGTCAAACCTACAGGTTGCCTAAGGAGAAAACTAGCCCCTCGAATCGGGATTCAAAGTGCCTCGCAGGTGAGGATCAGGACGACTGGCTTTGTCATGTCGGACATCTTCAAGGCCCCGGCATGACGGCTTTGACGGTGTCAATATATTCCCGGGTGAAAGTGGATGGCCTTCATGTGGGTAAGTGCAGGGGATGACTAAACTCAAATGGGGGAATTGTATCATCAACCTTCAACGAACTGCACCATTTTGGCACTACACCTTCCTGGAAGGAGACCTTTGCAAGCCGCTGGTTGTATGCCGGCTTTGCAAGCCATCACTTTTTGTTTGGGGGGGCACCATCAAATTTGATTCATTCTTGTTTGAGGACGGGCGACGGGCACAGGCAAAAGTTGGGGTCCGCGTGGAACTTGATATGTTTGCTCCACCAATGGGGCAATGATAGCTTTCAGGCCACGTGTTGTTTCCATCATTCACCCAGACGCGCTTGAAAATTATTGGGACGAAGTCTTTGACAAACGCTTTCCAGGGACTTGTCGAGTGGAACATGTCAGGAGCTCTTGTTGGGTACATGTCTGTGACCGTGTTTCCTTTCGGGTATATGACACTAGCCCTTTGAAAGGGTGCGATTGGCTTTGACATGGTTTGAGTTGGGCCAGTATCCAGAGCTGGCTCAGTTCATCGGCAACCCCCCCCCCCGCCCCAACCTTCCCGCTTCCTTCCTTTTGCGTTGGCGCCCCACTAAAGAGACACAATTTGAACCTACAAGGAGAATTGCATTTGCCCCGCGCGGAAGACCAATTGGAAACCGAATGCGTGCTTTGAGTTGCCTTCACGATCTTCACCCGAACCGGCGGACACCTTGATTTCAATCCATGCGCATGAATGATTGGCCAATGTGACAAAGCATGTATGAGGGTGACCAACAACTAGCCCCTTTTCGCAGGGTGTTTGAAGGGTAGCCAAAACGATATAACTCAGTGTCATAAGTTTGAGTCATAAGTCCCATGTTTAGGGGAAGGATGTGCGGGCACGAGAAGTAATTTTCAGGAACAGTTCTTCTGATTGCCTCTCCATCTCCCGGGTGAAGCTGCGTTGGCAGCTGCCTTCACAACGCATCTTAAATGTATATATATATATACATGTATATATTTATGTATGTATATACACATATTATACATATTACCCCATGTATAATGCCTGGATTTATATCTACTGGGTGTGATATATTTTATAAAGGGCATTACCCCAGCGTCTGGCACGTGGTTGAGCCCGATTCTTTTTGTTGTCGGCCGGGGCAGTCCTTTTCAGACCCCGTGGAGTTCTAGATTTTCTCTGCAAGGAATGCCAAACTGGTGCCACTGAAAAGGGAGAATAGGACCATGTCCGAGGTGTTTTTTCCGATTTGCAGTGTAATCCATTGCTGCGGGATACTTCTTTTGCATTTTTTTTTGAACTTCTTTGATGAGAGCCCTTTTACAAATCAAGTTCCGAAGTTCTTTGCTTGTCAGAGGGACTACATAGTGTCTTTTTTACACCGCCACTTGCGCGTTCACTCGTTCCCGCTGCTTTAGGTACGCTTGGACTTTCCCAAAGACCTGCAGTGGCCCCCGAAGTTGCTGCCGGCGAGCTACGACCACACCACCGGGGACCGGTTTTGGCGGTTTTGGCGGTGGTTTTGAGTGGTTTGGGGGGATTGGAACCCTGACCTGCTTGGGGTTCTGTTGCCTGGGTTTCCCCCTGTTCCTGTTTGAACTCATTTACGAAAAAAAAGACGCCCGTGTTCCCTTGGACTTCCACAGGTCTTGGTAGGGCTGAAGGGACCCTGGTTTTGTGGGCCCGAGAAGCGATTGACAACCCAGCTTGCAACCCAGTCAGCTGGCCAAAGCCGGCTTTTGGAGCTGTTGGTTTCCCAGGCTGTACCCAAATGTGTTTTTTCCTTTTTTTTCTTCTTTTTTCTGATCCCCTTGCGCAATCGAAATACTTCTCGCAGGTTCAACTCCACAAGGGCCTGGGAAGTAGTTGATCACCTGGTCATATATCTATATCTGTAAAAGGCACTTCCTGTGAGCTTCTGCTTCCCCGCTTAAAGGGAGAGGATCGCTTGTTTCAGCATGGCCAGCTGGCCTTCGTTGTAAAGGCTATGCAATGGAGTTGGCGGATGGCCAGCCTGATTGAGGTTGTCGAGATTTATTATTTTGGCATCTTTTGGCCTTGATTTCATGTTGCCTTTCGGGATTTGTGAACTGCAAAGAGCCAAGACGAACTGGTCTTGCCGTGATGCGGTTGAGTAAGGTTTGGGATTTATTCCTGAGCTCTGGGTAAGCGAGCTACATGAATATTTTCTAGATGTTCCGTTTCCATGTGGGGAATGATCCTATTCAATGGATACAAGGGATGAACATACTTGAAATGGCAAGACAAAACACTGACATAATATCTAGAAGAGTGAAAACCGATGAACATTATTACTGATGTTGATGCCCTGTTTGATGCATTTTGTTCAGACGGGGTGCTGCCAGCCGGTAGCGAGTTTACTTACTGGAAGGGCCCCCCCTTCGGTCTTCGGCTGCGGGGCTGAGCCCGCTGCATGGCCCGGTGTTCCCAGCCATCCTCACGTGTTTGTTTCTTTTTTTCTTTTTTTCTTTTTGCAGGGTTTAGTGGCGGTTTCCAGTTAACCCACTAAGAGTGAAACTTTTAGCAGGTGATCTGAGGAAAGCCCAGTACAGTTTCATGACGGCCTCTCAAATTGAACGAATCCGAGGTTTGGCACAAACTTGTTTTTCAGCTTGGCTTTCCTTCAAGAGTCAGGGCGGATTTCGAATGGCCCCCTTGAGGGGAAACAGGGAGATGGTTCAAAAGGGGCTTCGAATCCGGCAGGACATTGTCTTCCACATGCCAGCGCTGCAAGAGGCTCCCAAAGAGGCCGCGGGCCAAGGGGCGCGGCTCAGGAAGCAGAAGCTGCGATATGTGGAGAAGCGTCCCGATCTGGGCAACACACGGCCTCAACCGTCCCTCGGGGTTCAACTTCAGAAGATTTCACATTCGCTTATGACCTCACCTCACCCATGAAAGTTCCGGCTGCAGGAATCTCTCATCTTTGCTTGGTGGACAAATATGTTTCGCCCAGAATGTTTGTTGGCAATCTGGCCTCGGGCAGTGAACTGGTCTCGCGAAGTGTCCGCTACTTGGGAGCCTTTTTCAGTAGATGCAGGCTATCCCAGGCCTGGTTGGGACAAGACAATCATTGCCATGGTCAAGGCACATGTCAGGTTGTCGAAGAACAGGCCCCTTGGGCCTGGTGACATTTAGAGCTGCCGTCGAAAGGGCGGGGGGTCCAAAGAGTGGCTTATGTTGTTTGACTTCTGGGCTGGAGATAGGACATATTTTGCCACCTTGCTTCTGACTACATGTGAAGGAGGCCACAGAAGATTGTTTGCATATTTGTGCAACCATAATTTGGAGTAGTAAGGATGGTGATCAAGCTTAATTTTAATTGCACGGTTTGGACAAGGTGAAACGTGGTGACCAATAATTATCTCAGGAAGCCACGATCCACGGCTATTTTGAGGATGACACAAGTAGACAGCCAGGGAAATAAAGTAGGCGGAACTTAGGTGTTCATTCCACCGTTGGACATATTATAATTGCGATGTGAGCTGCCCCAGCCCCTATTGATAAGTTCAGGTAATTCTACTTCTTGCTAGTATGGTTGGCTCTCCGGCATTCCTTTTGCGAACAAATCGCAAAGATACATGAGGCAATCATATAAATGGAATGCTTGTCAACGGTGTTCGTGCAAGTCATAGCGTTGTTTCTTGTTAGCCCTGTCTTATGTCCGCGATTGTTTTTATCTTTGCTACTGCAGACACGTAGATACAAAAGCCCTAATTTCATTCGCCTAGTCTCCGGAACACAAGCCCGCCAACTGCCGACATGTTTCTGCCTTTTTCTGGGGATACCCTCTTTGAGGCTGTTTTCAAGGAAGACCCAAAGCAAACCACCCGGTTCGAAGGCTCTCCCCAGTCAGTTGACGTCAGGTCCAAGGTGCAGGCGGAGACGGCGAAGCAGCGGAAGGAGGAGCAGGCGTTTGGGTGGGCACAATGTGTCCGGGTGAAACCCATCGAAACCATGGTTGAAACCACTGTTTGTTGTTATTCAATTACAGGGGAATCGAATCATTCCAGGGGTTCTCAGGTGGTGCAGGATTTGGTCCATCCACAAACCTGATGTTTTCAGGGCAGATATAGGGAACCCTGTGAACACAGAGGCACAGTTCCCTTCCGTTGGGTAAAGGGTGTGGCAAAACTCAGGGGCTTGTGCCACGTTTCACCTTGGGATCCAGGCCCATGGTTGACAATCTGGTGTTGTTCTCTCGAATCCGGAGAGGAGTCGCCTTTTTGCGGCGAACTTATCTTCGAAAACGATTACATCGTCATGGGAATGGCCCTTCACCGAAAAGTTGAGACCAACACCGTGGCCCAGTTTCAAGAAAGAAGCCAGCAGCTTGTTTCAAGGCGCTGGCCCAACCGTGTGACTTGGGCTCCAGGGCACACCCCGATTGCTTTCTGAAAGAACATGCTGGACACAAAGAGCCGGGCTTGTGTTAAGATGATTTGGACCCATTGGAGGGCTCCGGTTGGTTTTGATGAACGGAAGCCGTCGAAACTTCCGGAATGTTTAGCTTTGGTGCACGAAATCAAGCAACACCCCCAGCATTCGCACAAGTCCAGAGGTGATTGACCGTCAAACAAGTTATTTGCTCATGATCAGAAATTGGAGCCTAATGAATGCCCGATGCCGCGACGTGTTTTTGTTTGTAAGCAACCAGCAAATTCAGACACGTGGAATTTGTCCAATTGCTGGGCCAGCAAGACAAAGAGGATTGGCTTCAGCACCAAGGACTCCTTACGGCCGGTTTCTGAGCGGCAACCGGGTCCCCTTGGTATTCCGGATGGTTTGGGGCTGATGGAAGCCGGCGAGTGACTCAATCTTGGCTCTCTTCACCTGAAAGAAACTGGCAGCATCCCAACTCTTTCTTGGCGGGGGAAGCATCAAGGAGCCCAGCTATGCGTAAAACGAGCTCGCCCTATGAAGGTCCCTTGCTAATCCAGTTTGCACACAAGGAGTCAGTTTGCCCCTGTGTGTAAAACGAGCCTTTGAACTATAGTAATTTGCCCAGAAGGATCCATTCGACAGTCGGCCTTTCAGTGCTTGAGCCAGGTGAGGCACAAGCTGCCGGGACCTCATTTTTGTTTCATGGGGTTTAAGTTCTGGTGATTTGACGTCAAAGTCCTGATTCCAAAGCCTGGGCCCTTGAAACTTGGACAAGCACTTCACTCCTCTTGTCATGGAATCCCCCAAAGTAATTTCAGCGGAGTCTGTGTGTTTGGTGTAACACGTTTGTAGCGTGCATGTTGATTTGCATGAAGCCATGTCACGAAATCAACAAGTGCCGAAAAAAAGGAAGCGTGCAGACATCTTGTCGGAGGGGACGATGTTCATGTTCAACCATTGGGGAGCACAGGTATGTAGAACTGACCGCACTGTGAAGGGTGATTGGCAGTTCTCACAACTTGGCAAAGCGGACCTATTTTGATTGCCATTCAATGCTGGAGATGTCAGATTGGGCGTGGTTTCAGACAATGGTTGGCTTCCGTATGTTTCTCTTTTGGTGTCCTCGTGAAACAACCAGCTTGAGAAAGGTGATCCCGCAGTAGTCTCGAACATGAAGCAAAAGGTCTCGATTTCACACTAAATCCAGACCCCCCCATTGTGGTTTCGATCATGGTGTTCCATAGTGCGGGATTGGGAGTCACAACAGAGACCCAATATTCGTGTTGAGTGGCACCTTTTGGGCTGGCTGAAACTTATCTCCTTTGCGATGAGGTGACGTCCGCAGTTGGACCTGCAAGAGCTTGAATCTTTAAGCATTGCTGAACAGCTCAAGAGTTGTTACCATCCATCCCAGCTTGGGCACAGGCACTGACGATGATGTTGGATTTTGAGCCGAGGAAGAACGGAACACTTGTTGTTGTTTGTTTAGGCACTTGGTTTAGGTAAAATCTACATATATATATATATGGTACCCCCCCAAAAAAAAAATAACAAAAAGAAACACCCAGGTTTAGTGAGAAAAACACTGGTATCTACAGTTCTTTGTCACCAAAACCTGCATCTGCCAGAACACACACTTTTCAGGCCCACTGTCTGCATCTGTCAAAAGCCTCTCATTTGGCAGCCAATGCTGCAACCAAGCACTATGCTTGCGTAAGGGCATCTCTTCAAGGAAGCGCTTTGGAAACTGAAAAAAACTGAAGAACAAAAAGGAAAACACAATAATAATAAAGACTGAAAAAAACTGAAAAACAACTGAAAAACCAAAGATTCAGGGGGACATGTGGCCCCCCCCAGGCATGTCCTCCTGAATCCTTGGTTTTTCAGTTGTTTTCCAGTTTTTCAGTTTTTTTTCTTCTGTTTTCCCCTAGTATTCACTTTTATTACTCCCGTAGTATTTTCTGAGTATTCCCGGTATTCCCCTAGTATTGCCCTAGTGCCCTAGCTAGGAAACCTGAGAGGTCAGACAAATTGAGCTTGAGAGTATACCCCTAGTGTTCCCTCAGCATTCCCCTAGCATTCTCCTAGTATGCTCCTTTACCGGCAGAAAGGTGCCCATGAGATCCCAGATTCATAACATTAACATTTGGTCGGCTCCATGTGCCGTGTGCATGCGTGTATGTTCACTGCCACTGGGTGGTTCTCTCTTCTCGTGCCGCAGCACTTGAAGATGTGCCACAAGCGGAAGCAATCTTCATTGGGATGAGGGCACGGCTCACCCGGCGCTCGCGCGGCACTCGCGCCGGCAGCGCTTTTGTCGGGTGTTCCGGCCCAGAACCGGTTGTTTTTTACTAGACCTGGCTTGGCTTAGCCCTGGCTGGTTGTCCCTCGTGTACCAAAAAAAGTGCGAGACATTTTGCTGACGGCCAAAAGAAGTGCTAGAAAACACTATTTGTGTTTGAAGGATAGGAACCCTTTAATTGCAGTGTGCCCAATAGGGTTTTGCCCTGGAAAAGCATTCAACATGAACCCAAACCAGTGAGTTTTGAGCATGTTGCGCAGTGTGCGGTGAATTCTTGGGGTTGGCAACATCGCCCTTCCAGTTCTGTGCCCATTGTGTTTTGGAAAAAAAGGCATGGGGTGACTTAAACGGATATGCGTAGTTCCAAGCGGCTGGGGATGGCTGGGGTGACTTCACGCGACGTGGGGTAACTTACGACGCCCGCTTGTAGTATTCCTCTAGTTTTCCTTGAGTATTTCCCCAGTATTGCCCTAGTATTCCTTTAGTATTCCTTTAGTATTCTCTTGGTATGCCCCGAGTATTTCCTAGCAAGGGAAGATACTAGGGGAAAACCTTCAGTATTGCCCTAGTACTCCTTAAATATTGTCTTTGTATACCCCGAGTATTCCTTCAGAATTCCCCCAGTATTCTCCTAGTGTTCACGTGTAATATTCCCCTAGTATTCCCTGAGTATTTCCATAGTATTGCCCTAGTATTCCCTAGTATTTCCCTAGTACTCCTTTTGCATTTTCTTGGTGTACCCCTAGTGTTTCCTCACTACCCCCTAATGTTCCCCAAGTATTTCACTAGTAAAAGAAGGGGAATATTAGGGGAATACCTTCAGTATTATCTAACTATAATTAACATTTGGTCGGCTCCATGTGCCGTGTGCATGCGTGTATGTTCACTGCCACTGGGTGGTTCTCTCTTCTCGTGCCGCAGCACTTGAAGATGTGCCACAAGCGGAAGCAATCTTCATTGGGATGAGGGCACGGCTCACCCGGCGCTCGCGCGGCACTCGCGCCGGCAGCGCTTTTGTCGGGTGTTCCGGCCCAGAACCGGTTGTTTTTTACTAGAAAAAGTGCGAGACATTTTGCTGACGGCCAAAAGAAGTGCTAGAAAACACTATTTGTGTTTGAAGGATAGGAACCCTTTAATTGCAGTGTGCCCAATAGGGTTTTGCCCTGGAAAAGCATTCAACATGAACCCAAACCAGTGAGTTTTGAGCATGTTGCGCAGTGTGCGGTGAATTCTTGGGGTTGGCAACATCGCCCTTCCAGTTCTGTGCCCATTGTGTTTTGGAAAAAAGGGCATGGGGTGACTTAAACGGATATGCGTAGTTCCAAGCGGCTGGGGATGGCTGGGGTGACTTCACGCGACGTGGGGTAACTTACGACGCCCGCTTGTAGTATTCCTCTAGTTTTCCTTGAGTATTTCCCTAGTATTGCCCTAGTATTGCCCTAGTATTCCTTTAGTATTCTCTTGGTATGCCCCGAGTATTTCCTAGCAAGGGAAGATACTAGGGGAAAACCTTCAGTATTGCCCTAGTACTCCTTAAATATTGTCTTTGTATACCCCGAGTATTCCTTCAGAATTCCCCCAGTATTCTCCTAGTGTTCACGTGTAATATTCCCCTAGTATTCCCTGAGTATTTCCATAGTATTGCCCTAGTATTCCCTAGTATTTCCCTAGTACTCCTTTTGCATTTTCTTGGTGTACCCCTAGTGTTTCCTCACTACCCCCCTAATGTTCCCCAAGTATTTCACTAGTAAAAGAAGGGGAATATTAGGGGAATACCTTCAGTATTATCTAACTAACTGGCTTTAGAGCTAATTCATTACAACTATTTAACTGACTAATTAGCTGAGTTGCTGACTGTTTGTTTGACTAACTAATTGAACTTGCCAACATTTACTGCTTGAACTTGAAAAATGTGCGTTTCGCAGAGGCGAAAATACACATGTTCTCAAAAGTAGCATTTTTTAATGATTTTGGTAATTGTCCAGGTTCAAAACCTGGGTTGTGGAGGGGGGGTAGCATATATATATATATATATAAATACATATACATATATATATGTGTGTGTATTGGCATATGGAATGCACATGCATTGCCTTTCACGCCACCTTACTGCACACATACATGTTTACTCCCCCTCCTAGGATCGCCTGGCGGGCGTCGAGGTGCGGAGGGATCCAGCGGGCTGCAGAGGGGCAGAGGTGGGGGAGGAGGGGAGGAGTCCGTGTGGATAAATTTTCTGGGTGAATTACAACGACCTCACACGACCTCACCCCTTACATGGTGGTTTATGTGGGGAATAGCCCCCCAACCACCTTGTTTCAGGTTGGTGAAATACTATAATTCACCCAGAAGTTCTGTGCAGGAGCAGCGCCTAAAATCAGCACTCCGGTTTAGCCTTGACAAACCTTGCAGAACTAGAGGTCGATGGGTGTTGGCCGTTGCCGATGATCCGGGAAGCGCCTCCGACTTGCCTTGAGGTTGTTTGATGCTTACTATTTCGAAATCAGTGTTTACTTGCGGGCTGCGGTGAAGAGCGGTTCATTCTTGTCAACTGATGAGGGGAATCGTTAGCCCGGGGCGGGCAATGTGAAACCTACAAATCACTCACTCGCTCGCTCACTATCACCACTGCCACTTCTTGGTGGAGCATACAATGATTTCAATTCATTCACCATCCTTTCTGAATGCGCTTGCCAGGTATCTGCCACGACTGACACTTGCGAAAGAGGCACTTCGGAAGAAGCAATGCACAGGCGCTTACACGTCCCACATTTCCACATGCGTGGTTGCGCCACTTCAACAAACGATGCCATCATGGTCAGCTAAACACAGCTGCGAATTGTTCATCAGCATCCACCAGACCAAAGGTGCCTGCGTTCCCCAAAGAATACACCGACCAGAAACAGCGCGGTGAATTCCTCCCCGTCAAGCACCCCCAGAAAACATACAGTTCCTCCAGGCCTATAACAAAAAGCAAACAACCAAGGTTTGACAAATGCTCTCCATTGGCTTCCTTTCAAGGAAGGACCTGTAACCCCGTCCTTGGAACAGCCATGTTTTTTTTTTGGGGGGGGGTTGGAGAGAGAGATCAAAGGGACACCGCCCATTTGGAGTTGCCTGAAACAGGACAACGGTGCCCTTCTCTGCAATCGGAAAAGTTTATGTTCCGAAGCCTTTTGAGTTTCGAGGTCTTTGTGGAGCTTTCGCTGGACGGCCAAAACTTCACGGAGGACGGATCATGCTGGAGCTTTTAGCAGTCACAACAGTGGTTGAGAGAGTGTTCCCGTCACCTCAGCCAATACTCATGTCTTCGGTAGTAGACCATGGTGTTGGATAACATCTTGTGATTTGGGGGGGGTCAATGCCCTGTCGTGCAACATGGCCCATTTGACCTGGGCTTGTTCCAATGATCTCGAAGGCCAAGGATAGCTGCTTCTGTTGTTCCCAACTCATATGACTGCCATCCTCCGCTCGTGCGAGTCTTAAAAGCACGGAGGCTTCAATTTGGTGGTTTCTCGGAGCAGATGCAGAATCCCTGGCAATAGAAAAGGGCTTTCGGGCTGAAATTGGTGCGCCCTCATAAGGACCGAGGTTGAGTCACAATTTGAGAAGGAACAACATGACACCAACCACTCATGAGGGGTTCTCAAGCTCCCAAAATGGTTGGTTTTCCCACTAAATATCAGCCAAAAGGTGATCCGCCATTCTGAGAAATCCCCTGAAGAAGGGTTGCTATTGACGCATGTTCATTGCTAGGATCACATGCACTTCTGCTACATCGGGGGCATTCGCCCTGAGGCTTGCAGGGTGGAGCAGGGTGGTTCGATCAGGGGCACCTGGTGGAGGGACTGGTGGCAGATGTGCGTAGCCGAACCTTGAAATGGAGAAACCAAAGGGTCTTAAAGGGATTGTTTTCTTTTGGAGTACGCATTTCAGGGGTGTTTTAAAGGGACACCCATTTTCGGGGGTTCCCTATGTTGATGCAAACTCAAACGCCGTTCAGATGCTCATTTGCTGTACAGATGAATGTGGGGCTGGCCCAAACACCTGGTAGCCTGCACGTTCTTGTTTCGCAGCAATGGAGCGTATGAGACGTGAGGCCTGTGAAGTGTGAAAGATTCCTCTCTGCGAAAAGCACATGGGTATGTATCAAGATAAGGCACACACAGAATGGTGGCTTCCCTTTTGCTCTTTTAACCCAGCGGAAGGCGGCGCCCGCAATTTTTTTTCCGCCGCCCCCATGGTCTTTCGAGCGGATGGTTGCATGTGATGTGTAGCGAGCTCACCCAGATGCGGTGAAGGTGCTGCCAAGTTTTTATCTCGAAGTTGCCATGGGGGTGTTTCTAAAACTGGGAGACCCCCTTCTGGTGTTGGCTTTGGAAGGTAAAAAACACAGTCGCAGGTGTCATCGGTATGCTCAACAAGCTCTTGTTCTGCAGCCAACGATTTCAAGATACGTTTGGTGTGCTTACAGTGACTTGTTTGTGGTGCAGTCTTCCTACTTCAGCGATGTTACTAAGTTGCTTCCTGCAGATGGGATGGGATTCATGTTGCTTCGGAACCCAGGGTCGGTGTTGACTCGAGACCCGTGGCACGGCTTCCTTTTGGTTGCCTTTTTGTGGTTCGACGTTGTTTTTGGCTTCCAATTTGCAAGAGGAGTTCCCCTCGTGACAGATTGGCGTGCATCTTTGCTGTCCAGGCGCTGAAGCTGCTTGCTGGTCCGGAGGGTGCCTGGCCCGGTTTGCCCTTTGAGGCTTGCGCCGTTCGAGAGAGTTGGCACGCCGCGTTTGTCCATGGTTGTGGAAAAACGGCCCTTTCTGTGATACCAACGGGAGCCCTGTTTTGTCACTTCAAAGGGCAGGACGTTGGCATCACGGAAGTGATTTTGTCCACGCGGATCCGAGAAGATGTGCAGCTGTATATCATGTGTACATCTTTCTGTGCGCAGCTCTCCTGTTTGGTTTGCGAATGCTATCAAACGAAAACCAGTCATTTCGGAGGGGCCCGGAAATTTGGTTCGCTCGAGCTGAAGTGTCCCAGCGGTTTCAAGGGGCCAAGTTGGCTTTCGTGGACGACTTGCCTGATGGGTTGGTTTTGAACCACAAAGGAGAGACAACACATCAATGCTGCCTTGGACGGAGGCATATTCCACCGTTTCGGAATGAATCACGCAGCCTCCTGGATTATATGTTGGAATCAAGGACTCCAAATTGGGGGCAGCCCATCACCATTCTCACTGTTTGGTTGTCTAAACGTGAGCAATCCACATCGCCTTTGTCTTTCAGCTCCGGCCGTGGTCCTTACCCTTTCTCCCACTAACGTGGCACCTGAGGGGTCCCAAGAGGAAACTGATCTTCCAGGTGCCCGCTCGCAGATCCCAAGCCTCCAGTGCCCGCTCGCTCTCGAGCCGAGCCGAGGTGCTCCGGAGGAAGAGACGAAGCCCAAGGGCAAGGGCAAGGAGGAGCGCTAGCGGTTGAGAGACTCAGTCCCCCAGCTAGGTGCCCTTCCCTCCCCTTTTTTGGTTGGGAGGGTTTCCCGTGTCTAGAAAAAAGTTGGTACCAACTTATTCTAACCTCTCTACTGGAGGACCTAGTCTAAATCACCAGACACAAAGAGCTTGGGTCAACGAAATCGGGAGGGTCATGTCCATTTTTCCTGGCAACCGATGCGAAAACGAGGCTCCCTCAAAGAAAGACATGCCCATTGGCCCGGGAGGCTTCTGGAGTAGGAATTGCACCCTCAAGATGCTTGGAACCTATTAAAACCTCTAAACATCATCCCAGGATGGACACCTTCTGGGTTTTTCCTGCGCCTCCCCTTTTATTCGTCCTTTGAGCATCGCATGCATCAAAGCATGCACCCGCTCGCTTCACCTCGGACTCGGACTCGCTTCACTCGCGCGGAGGAGGCAGATGTGGTCACGCTGCACGCCGGCTCCAAGATCGGCTGCGTCACCACCGGCCGGGAGTCCCGGCAGTCAGAAGTCGGGGGCCAGCGACCCGAGCGAGGCACCGGGACGCGTCCAGCGGGTTTTTGTCAGTTGGTTCCTTGTTAGCTGGAAAAGCCTGCAAAAATGAAAACCGACTCATCACTTAAGCTTGTCTTAAGATACCACGCATCTCGAAGTTAACTATGTAGGCCCTTAGTTATGATAGTAATTCAACACACGTGCCATATTTAAAAAGTCGAGACTCCCCAAATGAGCGCCATGAACAAGCGCTCCCTTGGGAACCTTTACATTGGTTTAAAACTGAGATGTTGACCATCCCTCAAGTGGAGGAAAAAACGCTAGTCGCTTGTGAAATCATCACTTTTTGTAGCCTTTTCGAGTAGTGGGTGAATTTGAGTGGTTTCCTGCAAGAATTGGGGGCTGTGTTCTCATCGGGGAAGTGTGGTGGAAGCTTCAGATGCCAAAGGACTAGCACGCACATCAAGCTTTGCTTTGTCACATGTGGAATACTTTTGAAAGCAGGTGCCTTATTGGGAACTGTTTTTGGGCTTTTGTAGTATGCCCCCTTTTTGTCAATCGACGTGTTTGAGGAATCCGGTTGTCGCGGATGTGTTGACTGTACTTCGTCCAAGCGCGGTTGCAAGACGAGCCAGCTTTCAGGCTTCCTTGTTATAAGCAAAACTTCCCGGTTCTGATTTAGAAAAGCGCTTGCAACCATGCTTTCTGAACGGAATGAACGCCACGCCACGTCCCTGTGGTTCAACAATCTACGTCTAGGAGAAGACGGCATTTTTGGGTCGCACCAAGTTCTATGTAAACTGGGAGGGGTAACTTTGGTCTCCACTGCCTTTCTCCATTTTGCTGTCACGAACGCAATGTGTTTTTTTTTTTTTTTTGTGTGGACCCGCTGTTTGACCAATTGAACATGTGGGAGGCGAGGCTTGCTAAAGTTGGAGGCCATCCTCCTGAAAATGATCTCCTACACCCCTACGTAGAATTTGGGACCCCCATGACTGGTTTTCCGAAGCTACTAGTTCGGGCCGACTCACAACAGGGGATGCACATGGTGACAGCTTACAATCTATTTATTTGAACACCGCTGTGTTGTAGTTTTGCTCAGGGTCTCGGTACGTTTCGCAGAGTTCCTTGCACAGGGTTTTCCCAACATCCATAGCCCCTTGCCCCGCCGCCTCCCCGCCCTACACATGTCATGTTTCCCGCCCACTTGGATGTGCATCTACCTAGCAGGGTCAAAGCCAGGGCTATATGTCAACCAACCCCCATTGTCCCACAAATCAAGTAAGCGTCTAGTTATATGCTAGTTGCTAAGTAGGTTGAGCGTTCAAACATACCGGGGTGAAAGTAGATGGCACAGCTCCCTTTGTGCAAGTGAAAAGGATGACGAAGCCATGGGAGTTGTGCAATCTTCATTCAACCTCTCTCCTAGGGGCTGTTTCCCTTTTCCCAGAAAAGGCAGGGTACATGCATGTTCTATAGTGGCCAGGTAGAGGCTTTATATCCCATTGAACTGGTGTGGTATTTGTTTGGGTAGTGTGAGCAATCTTGGAACCGACCAGTTGCTCAGTGCCGTCCTTGTTCCATTTTTGTTTGCGGGGCTCGCCTAAAGATGGTAAATGGGAGGCCAAGCCCACATAAAAATGGCGGTTCCTCCGAAAAGATGCGACTTCCCTGGGCCGCTGAACCACCTGGGAGTCCAGTTTTTCCCACGGAATCCCGCTGGGCAGCACTTGGGTTTAGTTTCAGGACCTATACTAAGGGAACCTCTCGAAAGTGCTCAAGTAATTCAGATGGCCTACTTGGATATCACAAGAAGAAATAGTCACGTTCCACCATGCCACAAGGGGGTGCTTTTTCCTCACTGAGCAACCGAGAAAGCTGAGAAGTGCACTGCGGTGGTCTTCATGTTTGAGGTGGGAAACCACCCCCGAAACACCTCCGCATCACCAATCCATGCCACCAATCGCGGGTTGTTGGACCCTTGTTCCGCCGGTGCAAAGGGGATACCAACATGGGCCCCTAATTGTGACACCCCCACGTAGATGGAAGCTGAACGTCCCAGGCCTGCCTGCCTGTCGCGACTTCATCTCCGCCGTGCTCAAGGCGCAGCTTTGCGGTGAGGACGGCGAGACCCTGAAGGCGCCGCCGAATCGCGCGGCCCGGGTTTCATGGCGTCACAAGGCGGTTGGGTTGATATCTGGGTTTCTCAATGGGGGACCCCACTTTTGGCTGGTTTAAAGGAATACCAACAAGAAATCGCCCTTGCACCCGAGATTAGGTTAGTTCCGAGGGAGCCAAAAGGAAAACACCATTTCCGGGGGTCTACTTTGCCCAGTTGGGTTGATGCGCTCCTTTTTTTCAGGGTTCCTTGACTCCCAGCTGCCAGTCAAACCATCACCTTTGCTGGCTGATTCAGAGGACCCCAGAAAGCATTGAGAAGCCCTGCTTGGGGACCTTGGTGATATTTAGTTGGGAATGTGCTGCGTTCTTTAACGGATAAGGATCCCTTTTGGGGATGTGGCGAGGTGTGGAAGATAGGGATCCTTTTTGAAATATGGTGGTCCGTTTTTAGGGATGTGGCAAGCTAGGAACCTGTTTTCAGCTGGCATTTGACTTGAGGCGCTTTTTGTTGAAAGATAGGGACCCGTTTTGGGCACGCTTTTGTTGTACCGCCTTGTTGAAGGCTTCCAAACAGGTGGATTGTCACAGATTGGACCCTGTTTATTACTTTCATCTAGGCAGTTAAATGTGGTGTTGAAGATAGGGACCCCTTTTGAGACCCTGGTGTCATTTTGTGCTGCCTTTATCATGGGAACGAGACGCCCGGCATGTTGCTTTTCAAGCGAGGCTTGGCTTGTTGCCTCGGGTGCATCTTCATCTTGAACCGTCCTTCTAACAGTTTTCCCGTGCTGGTCCTTTTGTACTCAAGGCCCCAAGCTAAGTATTGACCTTGCGTCAAAATTGGGGGAAACCCGCCATCATTGGTTTCCCTGTGCTTTCCCTCGTGCCAACCCCAAAAAGGGCACCAGCTCGAAAAGCAAGAAACATGCCAGCCTTTCATTTCCAGGCGCTTGAAAAGGCCCCCGTGCGCTTCACGCGCGCGCGCAGACACTTGAGCTGCCCGCGGTGGTTGAGACCATGGAGTCCGCAGCGGCCCTGGCGTTTCGGCCGCTGCCACCTCCTTTTGGGTGAGATGGTTGCGTTTGGTTTGCCCTCTGCACCAACCTGACAAGGGCCCAGACTCTTGGGGTCGTCAAAACGATGGCCCCTATTGCCGGGCGGTTGGCCGCCATTGAAATGCGGAGATCACGGAGCCCCTGATTTTGACAAGCCATGTGTAACAACCAGTCGCCTTCAAGGAACCAACATGAAGTTGTTTGAACAATGGGGGTTTGAACATGTTAAAAGCAGGGGGTGGTCCAACACTGACATCTGGGTTCTGGGTGGTCCGAGTAACCCCTTCAAAAGCATCCCACACACAAAAGGGCCGGCATGAAACTAGGGTGCCAACAGGGGGCCCCATTTTGGCCAACCCTACGCATGCCACGCAATGGGCCCCAAAGCCTACTAAGGAAATATGGCGGATCATGTTTCTTTTCACACAAAATTCTTCAGATTCCATCAATCATTGTGGAAGATGGTGCGCTGTGGGTGTTTTGGGGGGGGGCACTTTTGGTTTGCATGCACGGCTGAGGCTGATAATTGTCGGATGAGAGTAGCCCAAATCCCAACACAAAGAAGTTCGGTCCACGCATTTTTGCATTCATGTTAACATTGATTATTACATGTATATGCACATATTATAGTGATGCAGTATTTGGCTGATTTGCCAATGGGCCAATTCGTAGGTTTGGTTGGGTAGAGTGACTCCCGTCTCTTCTCATCAGGAAGGGCAGAGCGAGGAGCTTATCACTGCTTTGGCGCCGGCCATCCCGTGTGCCACTCAGATCTCGAACTCCGGGGCAGGATTCAAACTCCTTGGATGTTGGGCAGGTTCATGTTCCCTCCCAATTCGTGTCTTGGTGTGTGTTTTTTGTTGACCCCTGTTTTTTGTTTGGTTTCAAGGGAAATCTAAAGGACGACCGTTGTTGAACGGCCCCTCCTAGTTTGACACCCACCTCCATTTCCGGCATGCCGTCGATTTGGGCGGACGAGCATTCGGCTCTGCCTGGCGTGGAGTCTCCTTTCGGGTCGGGCCATGGGCCTTGCACGCGGTCGAGGGTTGCGCCACAGGCAGCCCCCGCTAAGGGCGGCAGGGGGTAAGTCCATTCACCGAGCAGTCCATTGATCTAGTCATCTATTCTACCGTTTGAGGAGTATCCCCCTGCCTTACAGAAAGACAGTGCGTAGATTCGTGGGTGTTTCTGAAATCAGGAGCGTTTTTTGGTGGGTTGTGGAGATACGTGGATTGTTTGGGGACGTCCAGCCATGTGTTGGAAACACGCAACAGTTCTGAGTTTGTGGGGACGTCCAGCCATGTGTTGGAAACAGGCAAACAGATCATAAATTGTATGTGTAGACTAATATGTCTTTGTACCCTCGCCTCCATGTCCTGTTCCGCCCTTTGGCGCATGGAGTAGTTTGGGTCGGTTGACGGTTGGCTTAGGGCTGGGTTGGTTCAGGACCTGGGGAGGAGGGTGGGGTTACCATGTGGACGCGGGCCTATGTGCATGCGGGCATGCTTTCTGACATAGCTCCCTTGCCAGTTGTTTTGCCCTGGCCAGGTCTACACTTGTGTATGATGTGTTTTGACGCTTGACACGCCACTGGGCCCACGTCAAAGGCTTCGCCAAAGAGCTCCTTGGGCTCAACACAGACGTGGCGTTTTACGAAGTCAAGCCCACGTACGCCAGCTTGTCCACTCGCGAACGGGCTGTGGCCTGCCTTCCATCCACAGCGGTGGTTTTGTAATTCCCATGCCGTGGGCGCTGGGTGCTGCGTCCATAAGAGGGCATGCTGCGGCAGGGCAGAGCAGGGGGGGGGTGTCCTATCCGCCTTGCTGCATTCTATAGCTCTGACAAGTCCAAGATCGAATTGTCCCGTTCCAAGTACCTTTGTACTGTAGGCATGTTTGTGCCTACGCCCTGGAAACCGGCGTGGCGTTTTCATGGTTTTCGGTTTGCCCGCCAAGTGCACGGATTTTCATCTCTAGATGGCTCTCGATGAAACCTGTATTGTTGCAATGCTGCTTCCCGGCTGCGCGCATTTCTTCGCATCAGTCCTACAACAAATGCAGCCTATTCTTGAACCCTGGGTTGCACAGTGCCATGCTTCATGGACTGCTGGGCTGTCAACGTCTATACGGTGTATGTGTATGTGTGTTTGCGGGGTACCTTTTGTGGGGTTGGCTTTGGGGCCCCGATTTTGACGCATACCCATATGAGACCCTCAAATACGTGACCTGAAACTAAGCAGAGGGGTCGGAGGGCCATCATTCGGACCAATGTTTTGACGAGTCTCAAAGTCACCCTCAAGTTGTAGCGCTTCCAGTTCTCACTGCATATAGGTAACTCGTTGTTGTTTTGTTGCGGCTTCTCCTGATCCTTTGCCCTTACCAAAGTATGGGCATTTCATGTGGGCCACGGAAACCAGCATTCGCAAAGCTGTTCTCTCCTTTTGTTGTGGGTTCCGTTTCCCCAGTTAAAACGGTCAATCATGGTCAAACACAAAAAGGGTTTCCCTTTTCTCTACCAGGGTCATTGGGTCCTAAATCACCAGTTGCTTGAACAAATTCTCGAATGTAAACCAACGAAGGATGCATCATGTGATATATATATATATACACATATACATGTACATTAATGTATCATGTGATATATACATATATGTACATTCGTATATACATACATAACATATATATATATATATATGTTCCAGGCGTGGAACCCCCCCCCCCCATCCCCCCCCCCGTCCCCCCCCCCCCACAGGGGGTGGGGTTTGGGGGGTGGGGGGTTGGGTTGGGTTGGTGGGTGGTTTGGGCTTTATTGCGGTTGGTTTGCGGTGGATATAGGGTTGGTTTAGGGTTGGCTTGGGGCTGGGTTTAGGGTTGCTTTAGGGTGGGTATAGGATTAGTTTAGGGTTGGTTAAGTTGGTTTACAGTGGGTTTAGGGTGGGTTTTGGGTTGGCTTAGGGTTGGTTTAAGGTTGATTTAGGGTTGGTTTAGGGTTAGGGTTGAGTGTTCGGGGTGTAGGATTGGTTTAGGGTTGGGTTTTGGGGTGAGTTGTCCTACATGTCGAGATGAAAGGGTGTGGGCTCGGGGCTCGGGGTTGGGCCGGGGGGGGGGGGTGGAACCCTACCCTTGGGGGGTGGGGGGTTGGTGGCTTGGGGACTGGAACATATATTACATAAATGTTCCCAGGCCCCTAAGCACCCAGGTCGCCGGTTGCACAGCTTTGTTCCTTTTCCCAGGTCGGAGAAGTTCCCGGACGCCGGAGGCTTGTTCTTGAAGAACTTCGAGGCTGGCCACGTTAGGTGGGTGCTTCTACCTGGCTTGATTGGGGTCATATTAAAGCCCAGGAAAAAAGGAGGAGCACAACTTATGACCTACAACCACGTAGAACCAAAGGTCAAGGGGTTTATGAGCGCTACTCACCTGGTGTTTGTGTATGCCAGATGTGGGCCAGGTTACTGTCATCCACGGCAGTAAAGAAGTGACACTGGGTACACTTACCAACATACCAATAGGACATGGGAAATCCAATGTCATTGGATAACACAGTGAATGTTGACAGAAAGTGGGCGCTTCTAGCATGCATTTGGAGCGGCAAAATAAGTATGGCGTACCAGAAAGGGCCCTTGTCCATACAGGCGTTGTTCCCTTTCTGGGTACAGGGAAACTAGCAATGCCCTAAAGGAAACATCATTCCTATACGACTCTTCATGTCGCGCAATCTTGTACATGTGCCCATGACTGATTCAGATAAGCATGGTGCCTGTCACAAGGCTGTTTGTTTACAGGTGTGAGCTTTCAGCTGGTATGAAGAAGGGAAACTCCGGAAGCGACCTTCAACAGCTCAGGCTTCACAAACCAAAAGGCAAAGCTAATCGTCCAGTGTTGAGCGGGAGGTCTACTCATTTATTGTTCTTTGCCAGGTTTGCCGGTAGAAGGGTCGGGCACAAAATCCCAACCAGGCCCCCACCAAGCATCCTGAATTCGTTTATCACTGGTTCAGGGCAGTGATCATTTCGATTTCATTTTCTGAACAGAAGAATTTTCAGAGACATGGGACACAACTAATTGCACGACATCCCAACCTCAATTACCACGGAGTTTCTGTGCACATGGACCCCTAAAAGCAACACACATAGCCTCATTCCCTTTTCGCTTTCTGGCAACCTTTCCGTAGTTCCCACAAGGCAGGTGGGTCATTAGATTTTGAATGACATCCGACCTGTCCAGACCCACATCCGCCCGTCCACCCGCACATCCGTCCGTGCCGCCGGCTGACAAAAACTTCAACAGCCTATGACAGACTTTTTCGACAGACACTTTCGACAGACAAATGTGACAGACGGATCTGACGGACAGGAACTGACAGCCGTGACCGTCCGCGGCCTGAGGCTCCCAGCAGTAGCCATGGGGACCGCCAGGCTTCAGCCTGAGGCTCCCGCCGGTGGCCGGTGGCCGGAGGGGGAAGCTTGAGGCTCCCGCGGGAGGTCTCAATGGCAGGACCAAAGCTGCGACAGAAGCGCTCAGCCGGTGCTCAAAGAATGCGGTGGCTTGTCTGTTTGCCTGACAAAGGTTCAGCCGCCAGGGGCTCTAGAGAGCGCACGCCTCATGCAGGAAAAGCGCTTAGCTTCGGAAGCTAGCGCGGACACGGCTAGAATTGACCCTCAATGCTTAGACTGGTCCTTTGATGTGGCAACTTTTGAGGTGTGCCGGGCAAGCGGCGCCCGCGCCTTCGGCGGCCGCCAGCCCATGCAGATGATCGTGTCCTTGCAAAAGCTTGGCCGGCCTCTCGAACAACCGGAGTGCCCTGGATGAGGGGAATCCCCACCAAACAGGACACGTGACTGCGGGCGCGTCACTGCGGCAACAGCTAAGGCTGCCATTGTTCAGGGTCAAAGCTGCCTTGGATCTCTTTTCATCTTTGGCTCGACTGAGTTTCTTCGCTATCGCAGCCGGCAGCATGCTTGTTGCCCCGCGCAGTCGGATTGACCTTGTGGCGCCTGTTTGGAAGTCTACCTTAGCCAAGCCAAACTTCGCGGTGGGGATTGTTCGAAGTAGAGTATTTGTTTGCCGCCTTTTGTTTGCAACTTAAGGGCCAACCAAACCTGGTTTCCCCTTTAGGCGCAGGCGACAAGCTTCATCTTTAGACTTAGAGGGGGGGGATCCCATAACCTGGCTTCACTGTCACCCAATTCTGGGGGTTGCTGTGTGCTATGTTTCATGGGGCCAATTCATAACCACATTGGCACCGGCACGCCAGGTCTCGCTGAACGGCCAAAGCTTCAGCTCTTGCCCGGAGATTCCAGCCATGAAGCCGGGTGCTGAGGGATGATCCACGAGTGTCGAAATGAACAGTTTTCCCTTATAAGCGACCGGCTCGGTGAAACAAACAAAAACCATCAAAAACCCAGGGAGGTCCGAGTCCTTTACTCGGGCTTTCCTTACTTCGTTTTTTGGATTGGTAGAATCTGCAGTTACTTGGGCATGGAGTTCCTCGATAAAAGCTGGTTCTTTTTGGTTTCCATGTGGTGTCGTTTGGTTTATCTTCTGTGCTTCCTGCCGGTTTCCCTTTCGTTTCTTGGTATTCCTTCCGCGTCCCAATTTGACGGCAACTCAAGCCGGGTAGCTTCATGCGCGTGGGAAGCCCGGAAAGATGGAGCCCCCTTTGGGATCTGGTTAGACCGGATGCCAGCGCAGCGGGGGTCCAAAGTTTGGGTGACAAAAGTGGAGCCAACACAATTCATTTGGATGTGCATTTCCGTGATGTGGCTGTTGGATTTGTGAGAGCGGATAGATGGTCTGGCTTGAAGACGGCGGTGAAGGTTTCTCCTTACTTCTGGCAAGTGAATTATGCTGCCATGTCCTACAGATGTGCGGTAGACGACCGGTTCAACTGAAAGCATTCTGTGAGTCACAGTTTGCCCTTTGAATTGCGATATGGTGCAAATTGGTGCTGCTCAAAAGGGATCGCCTTTCACTACATCAGATTTGAGGATAGTCATCAACCAGAAGATGAGGAGTCATGGCGGCCCCGTGGATCATTGAATCATGACGGAAAGGGGGTCCAAAGTGCCATATTGTCAAGGACTGTTTGGTGTTAGTTAGTGGAAACTACACGTGTAAACTCATTTTGAGCCATACAAAGCCCATGTAAAGTCCCTCGGACGTTTATTCAGCGTCCCTTCGTCCAATGATCGAAATTGGGATGGACACCCTGCTGAAATAGAACACCACAGGGGGTCGCCGGAACAGTCAAAAAAGGAAAAGAAAAGTAGAGACCATGCTAATTACCCTCCCTCAAATCAATTCGGAACTTGGTGAAAGGAGTGCTGTTTGTTTTGAAAGGCCTTGAATCGGATTCGGTTTGGAAGGATAAGTGGGAATGCCAAATGTAGCGTGTGTGTTTTGCGTTGGTCCCTGTTGTTTCTTTTTACTCAGCATCGAGTGCCTGGAGGGATGTGTGTGGACCCGCGCTTTCCCTGCCTTCATTTGGGAGGGGCCAAGGTTGGAGCCTTTGCCGCCGGAGCCCGCCAGCTGACGAGGTGGCAGCCTGGAGTTGTCCAATGGGGTGCAGGAGTTGAGACATCCGCATAGGGAACCCCTGGACATGGTCTTAGAGGAAAAAGCAAAGGGACACACAACATTGTACGGGTTCGCCTATTTTGAAACAAGCCTCATATTCGAGCATTGTCGGACAACATGAACCCCCGATTTTAATACTCGTTGACAAACCGCCAAAACAAGTGCTAGTGCAGAACCTCACAGGGCACAGTTGGGTTGCTTTGGGATGATAGCTGGACAGTTGCTATGCTGTTTGAGACCAGATGAGTGGGGTGAACAAGTCACCTCGGGAATACAGCCGCACAAACACCACAAAACATCCAAGCAAGAAAAAATACCTCTGCGATGGCTTTCGTGTGACCCCGCACACGGGGGTTCGTTTAAGGGTAGACTTCGACTTCTCAGGTAGGTTCAAATGGACGCCAGAAGGAACACCACAATTTGTTTGTTTCCGTTATTTTGACATATGTCAAAACTGCCGGTCTTCGGATGCGTGCGGGCAATCAAACACGAGCCCATGCAGCCCGGGGCTTCCTTGTGTGCCTTTTTTCTGTTGTTGTACTCCCCTGCCGTCATGTTTTTGTGAGAATTTCCTGGGCCTTGAACTTTCGTTTGGGCAACCGGTTTCTCGGAATTGCAGGTGTTGCAAGACCGGCAGGTTGTTTTGGCCATGGTCGGCTTGCGAGGCACCCAGGAGCACCTTCCCAACAGCAACCCGCAGAACCCTTCCGGAACCCTACCCTAGCCCAGAGCCACTTCGACCCACTCATGAGCATATCAGAGCAGCCAACAAACAAAGGGCGCCCTTCATTTCTCCCATAGTTATGGCTCTTGATGGCTCTTGACATGATAAAAGGCAGGGTGGTCGCTCGGAGTTGCAATTGCGCCTAGGGCAAATTGTGTTAGAAGGAGGTGTGAGAAGTGTTCAGATTGTGCATCGTCTTGAACTCCGCGTTGAAGTCCCTCAGCGGAGAAGCTGAAGAAGTGGTTGCTTGTTTATGTTGATTTGTAGCTTGTTCGCTTGACAGTGTGGATAGTCTTGCATAGAATCATATGTTAGTAAAAGCCTGCCTTCCAGGTTGCACGTCAGAACTTGGAGTGCAACGCACCGCTTGCATGGAAGCTATTTGGTTCCCTTTGCAAGGTCTACGCGAGCAACCGGTGACAGTTGGAAGCAACACGCCTCGACCAGGATGCTGACCGGGGTGCTGAGTTATTCATTACGTGGGTGTCTCGCACATGGGGGGCTTTCTACGCACGATTTCTCGATTTGGGGATTTTCCAATCTGTTTGGTCATACTGCTTTCGATTCGGCTCTCAAGCGAACAGATCCTGAATGCATTGCTTCTTCGAATTGTTCTTGCAGCCATCCTGGGCACCCCTGCAAGACATACTCATGTGCATGTCAAGTCAGTTTCACGCTCGTGTCTCACAGCATACTAGAGATGATTCAACAGATACAAGGCTATGTTCGTTTGCGTTTTGATGCCCGGAGCCCCATTCTCATTGCTCTCCATTGCTCAGTTCCTGGCTCCGCACAAGTGCCGGACAGGCTCGCGTAAATTAGCGAGCCGCCCGGCAATGCGCGCCGAAGTTCGCGAAACAAGGCGTTGTCGCGTTGGAAGTTGCGGGTCAGGGTAGATCTGGGCGGATTGACAGAGCGGGTGGGGTTCGGTGAGGCGAGGCTCATGTGAACATTGTAAACAGTTTATACATGATGCATGCACTTCGGTGATTGCAATTTGTTGTACACGGCTCTCCGGCTCAGAGTGCACATCTTTCTGCTGGTTGGAAGCAGCCTTTTTCCGCGATTTGGAGCGCAGTGCTTGTCAACAGAGTCAATCACGCCAGCCTCCTCAAGGTGTCACCCGTAGCTTGACTGTGCACTACCAGCAGCATGCACCTCAGCGTTGTTTTTTCTTTTAGGATGTGCCATGCGCATGGAGTATCCTGTTTGCTATTTTTCAAGGACTGTTTCTTGTCAGTCCCTCGCTGGTTCGAGCCTTTGAAGAGATAAGCCGGGGTTTGGGTCACACAAGTCGCACAACGTTTATCCCGTGTGGTGCTGCCGACGCCCCGAGGTGTCAGAAACTCGGATGCAGAGTGATGAGAGGGTCAGAATCTTGAGGTGCATGCTTTTGCCCGCAAAAGGATGCAAGAACCCAAGGCATTCTTGGGTGTGGCTTAAATTTGGGGGTCCAAAATGGATCCCTGGTGAACAAAATAAATAGGCCAGCATCTGCGTAATCCCAGCTGTTTAATTTTGAGCCTCACCCTTTTGTTGAATTGCATGAACCACTGGGTTCTGGCGTCTCTTTGGATAACCGCCAAAGGAACCCTGGGCAAAATTCCACCGAACGCCAGGCCAGACATGCTGCGCTGTGCCGTTCAACCATGGCATTGACAACAGTTGTTCTACACTAGGGGTAAACTGAACCCACCTATCATGGGAGGTTTGCAGATGTTTTCAATGTGCTGAAGGAAACCTAGTAGTAGCCCGCAATTTTCATCAACAGAAACCAGCCCGGAATCAGTATTGATTTGAGCCTTGTTTAAGCCCGGAGCCGGCGTAGTTGTTTCAACTGTAAATTGGCCCCTGGCCGGAAGCTGTCCCGCTCGGATGGTGAGAGGGTTCACACGTGTTTGCCTAGGGCCTAGGGTTCCAACTCTATTCCAGTTTGACTGACCGGCACTCATGGTTGTAACTTGCTCAATGTGATACGAGTCCATCATTGTTTTCATTTGATTCACGGAACAACTTTCAGGTTGAGGGAAGTGAGCGCTGTCCCAGCAGCCACCTTGGTCGTGTGCCCCAAACAGAGCCGTCTGTTCACGGCACACGTGTTTTTTGGGGTCGCTTTGTGGGTTTTGCATTTGCGAGTCGTGGCTCGTTTGCCGTGTCCGCCTAAGGAGCAGACTCGATGGCTGAGGCAGAGGCATCCGGAAAGCGGAGGGGGGCGGCGTGTACTGAGTTGCAGAGAGGTGTGCAGTCTCGTGGGGAGGTGCAATAGACGATCCTTCTCCCAATATGTTCATTCGAGCTCATCCAAGGATACTAGGCCAGCTGCACTGCCAGTCTCGCAATTTGCACGGGTCCACGCATTATTTCAAAGCGATAATGGCGATACAGAAAATACACATGGCTTGGGCGGCAAGGCCCTTTGCAGGACCCAGGACTCATCCACTGTTGGCTTCGTCTCCTCAGCGGCGACCCGCCTGGAAGATGGTGACAGCGGCTGCAGGAATGCTTCGGCTCCCGGGAAGGCAATGGATCCAAAAGAACTGAGGCGCCGAGGAAAAACACGTGCGTGGAGCTGCATGACTCAGATGGCTCCTACTCATTGGGTTTGCCTGTATGGCGAGCTGAATGGTTCGGGGGTAAAACGAGCTTGCCATGATTCAGGTCCTTTACTTGAGGATCCCTCACTTCAGGTTTTGGATTTTTTCTAGTATTTGCAGAAGGGATCACAATTGCGGCCTCGGTTGAGGCATGCGAAGGGAGGCGCCACACAGGATGCCAAACGCTGACAGAGCTCAACGGATGGCGGATGCGGTCTCGAAGCATCGCCATGTTTGTTCTTGGTCGATGGCTCGTGCTACCTTTTGTTCGCACCAGCCGAGCGATTTCTGAAAGACTGGTTTCCTGCTTTGCAAATTGCAAGTAGCTTGCTTGATTCGCTTGGAAGGCAGACTTCCATTTGACCTGAGGGTGCAATGATCCGAGAGCACTGAGTATGCGAACAGTTTCCTTGCAAACTTGACGTACGACAAGACCGCAAAGGGGCTAAAGAGATTGCAAAGCCGAGCGGTAGATTGTTAGGTTCTGGCCGAGGGCTTCAAATTGCACGTAGAACGATAGCATCGATGGGTTCTTTCACTGTTTTGAGCCGACCGCTCCAAGCGTCTGATGTCATGTCGCGTTCGCCAGATCTCCAACGATGTGCCCGCAGGGCTGCCGGTCCGGGACTTTGGAGGTTCTGGCAAACTGTGTGTCTGCGGTTTATTTGCAAGGGACATGGGGGGACTCTCTAAATGTTGTACAAAGACCAAGAGGGGGTTCTCTCTCTCTCTAATTTTCCTATGGGTAGGGATGCAGGAAATTGTTGACGATGGCTCATTGGATTGGGTGCATCTCATGGATATGGGAAACTAGCTTATGACAAGACATTTGTTGGCCAGGAGTTTGACATATTGGATTCACATCTTTTGTGTGACGAGCTCACATCAGGCTTAAAATATGCTGAGCAACGCCAGATCGGTTTATTCAGTGGGCAATCGTTGCACCCTGCCCTGATTTGGGAAGGTGAAGCGCCACGAGTATTATGACTACACCCGACGTAGTAGCAGCTGGTGGTGTTCCCGCGAAAAGTAAGCATCCCCGACTAGTGGGAGACTTCCGCTGCATTAATGAAGCGATTCTCCCTCATTATAGTAATCGGCTGGTCCATAGTAAAGGGAGATCCCACCGTGTTAATCGACTGGTGTTTTTCAATCCTGAGGGACCCTGTTTATCCAGCCCCACCAATTTGCTTTTGAATTATCCACCTTTCTTGAACAGTTTTGGCGTCCAGAATCAGCTTGAGGGTAGAAACACAGGGTCTCTATGATCAGAGTTTGTTGTTAAAAACTGTTTGTGAGCTTCCCGCCAATGAACATGGAACCTGTCAGGGACTTCCTAGTTTGGACCATTTTCTTTTACAGGGCCCGGGTCCCTAGCAGGTTCCATGTTAATTGGTGGGAGGGCAACTGACAGCATGTCAGAAAACCCTTAGTTGGCGGCTTAATTTCGTGGTTTGGGGATTTGAACCCCTGGATAAATGGGGAACCAAGCTCCAACCTCTAGACTCTAAACCACCAGTCCAATTGGTGAACCACCAGTCCCTCCGAACCAGCATGCCACCGTTCTTTTCTCAGGACGCGACTCGATTGGGCGCGGCGGCGCAGCAGATGCTGGCCCTGCCTGAGGCAGATATTTTTGGATGTGGCGTTTTGGCCCTGAGATGTGGGCAAACTAAGCGGGTGCAAGCAACTAACTAAGCGGTTCCCACAGCACCTCAGGTTCGCTCACCGGCCGCAAGTGGCGGGTTTTGGTGAGGTTTGAGACCAAGGGGCGATACTTTCTTCCCCCTCAAAACTGCCCCCTTCTAGCCGCCTCGCTTGCCGTAGATGTTCTGTGCTTGAGCCACCCCCCTGTTCCCGGCTTGGGTGTGGGTGAATTAAGATCTTCTTGTGGCAGCCTCATTTACTGCGTTCGACGCTGGCACTTTGAGTTTGCCACTTGGATTGAGGGCTAGCTCCTACTCATAGTTTAGGTTGGGAGGTTTTAGTTACCAACACCACTTACTGTTTAGGTTCGGGGGGGAAAAGTTCGGGTTTCGAGGGGTCGCTCGGGGTTCGGGGTTCGGAGCGATTTTTTTCCTGCACGGGCAGGACGGCGGGCGCTGAGCGTAGTTAAACAACTAACTATCTGATTGCTCTTATCTTTATAGCAGCATGTTGGGATGCAGGAGGGGGGTTTGCCGGACCGAATGACGGTCACTCTTGGACGTGGGCTGGGAATTGGGCAAATCCAATGTAAACCGCAGTGAATCGTGGCTCCAGTGGGATCACAGGAAAGTCTGCAAATGTCCAACTTTGTGAAACATAGATGAACGGAACTGGGGGACCCTTTGACCTTCCCTCCCCTAAACCAATGCATCCGCAAGATACAAATTATTTAATCCTAACTTGCAGGGCTGCTCAACTCTGGATCTTGCTCATTTGTGAAGAGGTGTGCGTACTGAAACCCTTGCGCTGTTGTCACAAAACACTCGGAGCATTTTGCAGCCCGCAGGCAGAGCGGGAAGAGGCGTTTAGCACGGTCTTCAAGGCCGCAGCGTTTTTGTTTTGCGCCGGCTTTCCAACTAGAAAAAAACCTGAACACCTAGTAATTGCCTTCAATACTTTGAGGTTTTTGTCACTGCTAGGGACCAACTGCGAATCTACAGGAACACAGCCAGAGGCTTCATGGGCCACATGGAAGTAGATCTTGCCTTTCATATAAGCTGATATGTCAATCAGTGGCAGATGTGCCCAAAAAGTTGCTTTGGTTCAAGATTGTGTGGTTGGTCAGGGTACTTGGCACCGACAATAGGTCAGGATTCAGCATGTTTCAGTATTTCAGCTTTTGGTGACCATTGTTTGTCAGCTTGCAACTTGAAATTAGGTATGTGGTATGCATTGCCTTGCACTTTACTTCTTGTTGTGCAGTGCGGGAGTCTGCATATGACATGGCATATCAGCATGTCTTTGGCAGTGGGTTGCTGGTACAAGTATGGGCACATATTGGATTGAGACATGGTTGTTGTTGGGAAACATTTTACATTTTTGCTTATTGTGGTTTAGTAGGAAATCCTCACTTATCTGCTAAAATTTAATTTGTTGCTCCCCTTTCAACGTCGACCAAGAAGACTCTGGCAGGATAGAGGGTGCTGCTCTCTGCTCTCTGCTTTGCATGAGGATGTTTCATGAGTCCACCGTTGGCTGATGTGGGTACGGTATCAGTTTGTTTGTGGATTGTGACGTCCAGGTTTGGGATACCTTCTGCTTGACCCCTGTGAAGTAATGCACATTTGGCAGTGACTTTTCAAGCACCAATGGTTGACCCTGAAACCTTTAGCACCTGAATGGCCAGCAGTGCATGAGGTATGTGTGACACACAAACGAAACACCAAGCTGCAGTTTTGGCCTTGCGCGGGCACTCCTTGGATCTCCTTGGAGCTCGCTTGAAATTCAGTTCGTCGCGGAGCTCCGCTTTGTGTTGCAATGGCCCTCCAGTGGCAAGCTTGGCTCAAACGACACAGGAGGGCAAGCGAGGTGTTATACATACGTACGACGTACATGGGACACCACATACATTCATACAGACAGACGGACAGACAGATAGACAGTCGAACCTACTGTTTTGAGCAGACATGGTCAAGCTTGTTTTGAAGTTGCCTTCAAGCTTGACAGGGTTTTCTCGACGGCCAGAGACAACCCACGGTAAGTTTCATTGATCACCTACCAACCACGATGTGCCCTGTGCGCTAACCGTGGATGATGAGCATTGAGATCAACCATCGCTAAACCCGTCTTCCGAATTGTTGTGACTGGCAACATGTTAGAGGAAAGCCAACCAGAAGCCAACCATGTTGCGGGTTCTCATTCTGAGCCCAACCCATGTCTTTGGTATCTTTAGAAACTGAATAGGAAGGGCTTGCTACACGATGAAGCCTCGAAGCTTGGTAGATTGCGACCCTGTTTTTGCAGTGGCGGTGCTTAAGAACCATGGGAGCAGAACATGCCTGAGCATGTCTTCCTTCCCATCATCAAACACAGGACACATGGATGCCATCGCTGCAAAATAGTTTTCTTGTGGATTTAGTACGGCAGTACGTACCCAAGATGCTGCCTATCGGGCTTCGCACTGCCAAAGATGAACGTTTGTAGGGCAATCCTTCAACGAGAAAAGCAACCATATTTGGAAAAGTAGGAACCTACCCTTATGCAATTGCAAACCCCAGACAACCAGGTTTTTGTGAGCATAGCACATGTGACTTCATTTGTCCCGTGCCATCAGCTGGTTTCTCAGTTTGAGAGCTTATCACCCATGGACTGAGTATTGGACGATGTATGACGTTGCTGGACTCTTGCTGGGCGCCTGGTTGTCACCCGTGGAATATTGTTTCGAACATGCAATGGAAGGGGAGTTCTCTTGGCTCGCCAGCTTGTCCACAACATCCTGGGGGACTTAGAGAACCTGAAGAAGCGTCGAGTAAAGAAGGCTCGGGACTCAGCAAGAACGCCAAGGTCAGATGCGCTGATCTTCCACCCACCCACACACCTTTCGCGTTGGCTTATTGCCAGCTTTTATGCTGGCAGGATGTATGGTAGCAAGCATCACATGGGAGTTACAGTAATGTCCTGGCAGACCCTTACCGGCAACGGCCTTTTTGATCCAATTCCAGCAAAACCGAGTTGCTTTGCCCTCGATCGGCCCAGCAAACTCAACCTGCGTTGCACTCGTTGGCTTGCCACAGGTGACGCTTCAAGGCCAACTCCCGTTTCATGGCTGGGGCAAATTTGCCGAGTGGAATGAACCTCTGAAGGTTTCCAGGGCTGCACCGATTGATCAGATCAAGAAGTTCTCGAAGCCCTTTCCAATGTCAAGGTTCTGCAGAGATCATCTACTGTAACGGGAGGGACGTGGCATGAAAGAAACCCAATTCTGGAATGTCGTAGAAGTTGCTCATCATAGTTCCTTGGGACACGGAAAGCTTACGATCTTTGGGCAGCACCTTCGAGACAACATACTTTCTGTGTCAGCTTGTGCTTCGCTGAGGATTCCTGTTGAGGTCTTTGTGCCGCTGTCCGCTGGGCTGCTTTTTTTTCTATTTGGGCAGGGGTCATCGGGAATTTAAACAACCGCTGCAAGGCTTTCAGGGTTCTAATTTATGGAGCCATGAACATGAACATGGCACATGTGGGAGGATCCCCACCACCTTAAATGTAATCAGGAGGAGCGGCTGAATCCTGGATCTGTATTCAATTATCTAGTTTCCCTTTATGTGGAAGACTCAAACATGAAACAGGGCAACCCCCCCCACCCCCCCTTTTTGCGCGCCTCAGGCGAATGAGACTTTTCATCGCAAGGCCGGGGCACCTCGGAAGTGTTAGGCTGGTCGGTCGCAATTCCTTCGGGTACCTGCAATATCCTCCTCACATGTGTTGAAAGGGGTATGTTAATCGGGGATCAATGCTTAGCATCCATTCTTGAGTGTGCTCCAATTGAAATCATTACAACCTGCAAAGCGCAGAGGAGCCCAAACGGCCACAACGTTTGTTGCATATAGATATGCGGTTTTCTGTTGCATGCAACATAATCCACCTTGGGTCAAACAACAACAACTCGTGCAAGTATGCAGTATGCCTATGCCTATATCCAACCAGTCACAATGTGGGACATGAGTCTTGCCGCTGGGCTGAGTCTTTCCGCTGGGCTGCCTTGGTGTGTACCGAACAAATTATTGGAATGTTTGCACATCCATTTTGGCAAGCATTCATGGGCACGTCAATTTTTGGAGGGTACCGCGCTTGGTTGTTTAAAAGGGAAATCAAAAGAACTATCTTTGTTTTGAGGGTTCCTCCGTTTTGACAAAAATCCACAGTGCGTTGAATGTGGCGGACATCAATCCTCATGGACACGATGTCCACCAAAGTTTCAACTTATACCGTGGGCAAACCACAAACCCAGCTTTCTACGAATTGATTTCCCATCATGTTCAACCACCCTTCATTTCATCAACCAGCCTGTTCCACGGTTTTCTCTGCCTATGTGCTTGCGAGCTCGGGGGTGAAATGAGCGAGCGCACCATATGGGCCTGTTGCTTGAAGATACAATCCAATTTCCTTTCTTGGAATCATCGGAATCAGTGTAAAAAACATGCATATCAGGCTTTCTTTCTTGTTCTTTTGGGTAGAGCATTCTGGAATCTTGGAGTTTACGGCCAGCTTCCTTGCCAAAGGAATCTGATCGACCAATCAGCAACAATAAACAACTTTGGCAACATAGGACGTGTTAGTTCCCACAACAATGTTTAAGTTGCTCTCGTTGCACCCTGCTCCCTCCCACTCGACTAAAACGGTCCAAATCAGCGTGGGGTTTATTCGCAACTTTGTTTGGACTCCAACAAATGTGCATGTGTGTATCTAGCATGGCCTTCTCAAACAAAAGGGTCGGGGGGGAACGACATGGGTTTCTTGAGTGTCAGGTCGTTTCGAAGATCGCGTCGCGTGACTTTTCAGGTCGGGCGCCACGGTTGCGCCCTGGACTTCCTTCGTGCTGTCGGCTTCCAGGACGCCGATGATGAGGCGAGACTCGCCTGGGGGGGGGGGGATCTGTGGGCGGGTGAGGGCGGGGCGGGGGGAAGCCCTAGCAATGTTGACAATAGGCACAGCACGCCGAACGAAAGGCGAGACACACACACACACACGAAACCAGACATAAAGTCAAAACACAAACCAAGGTGTGGAATCCACTCAACTGGGAGATTCATTTTATTCCCCTGACTCACCTACAGTTTTGGCAGTTTCTGCCTGTCGTAGTCCTTCCCAAGGGGGTGTTTGGGGGATGCGATTCTTTGACTGGTCGAGGCTGCACATGGATCACAATGTGGGCATGAACTTGTCTCGTGTTTGCCGACCATGTTTGAGGGAGTCACTCAGTCAGATTTGACCAGAATTGGGGTGCACTGGAGCCACTGCCTAAGGGAGGGTGCCGTGCCTCAAAAGAGGGGCCCAGTGCAGAGAACCCGCGCCAGGGACACAAGAGCAAGAAGCTCAAAATCCCGAACCGAAAGTGGTAGGGAGCAGGCAACAGCTAACCTGAGTTACCAGGGTTAAAAGAAAATATGTTTAAGTCTGTTGCCCATTCAAAGTCATAGCCAAATATGGGACTTGATCCTATAAGAATACATAAGTATATACTGAATGACAAGTGCCAGCGGACATTCTCATTCAGCGGCAGTTGGGGAGTTCTGTGTGCAGTACTTTCAGCAACTTTCTAAAGCAACACCAGAGGTCGAATGCGAACGGTGATCATGCAGATCCGCCTTCGAGGCCCGAGCCCATCCCAGAACCAAGCCAAACACCACCTGTGTGTGCGTGTGTGTGTGCGTGTGCGTTTTTTTTTTCTCCGCCTTTTCAACGGCTTCCCTTTTTCAACGGTTGGCTTGGAGGGAAATCAAAAGGGCCGGCAGCTGGGGGTTACATCGGGCTTACGAGCAGCTGGGGATTGGCTGGGAGTGGTCTTTTCAAAGGCTGGGAGTTGCCTGTGGGGTCAATGGCGTGCAAGTGGATGCGCCCCCCTCCCAATCAGCCACAGGGTTCTGTTCCGTTACAAGCCGCTGGTTTGAAAGGACACACACGCATCAGGTTGGGGCTTTTTAAAAGACATATGCTTGAGCCAGCATGCTTTTAACAAGTCTTTTTTTGGATTTCCTTTCAAGGGCTAATACCAGTGTTTGTCTGTTTTCCACCAATTTTGCCGCAGGCTTCGCTCCTAAAAAAAACAGTCTGGTTTGAACAAATGCAACATGAGCTGCGGGCACAAAGTCGGGTTGAACCGCTTCGGTACCAGGGAATTGTACTAGGGAAATGAGAAAAAGTTGGTCGGACAAGCATGTCCACCAGGTCCACCACCCACTTAGGCATGGCTCACAATTAAAGAGCGGTTACGGAGGTTTTAGTCTTTGTTTCCATTTACCACGGTGCCATTTTGGTAGATTCATTTGAGCCACAGCCACTCACTTGACTTGGAAAACCAGCTCGGGCTTTGAACTGCCACAAGGAAGCCGCGGATGGGAAGGGCGCTTTGCACCGCACTGAGGGCCGAGTGCAAGTTGGAGCTAAATGGCTATGCTTTTATCATGGGGACCCTTCATTGAAGATTGTCATAAAATACAAGTATGGCAAAGTGTTTTGTGCTAGCACCAATGCTTCCCAAAAACAAAGGGTCCAACTGGGTGGTTAAGGGGCCTGGCGACAAGCCCAATTGCCACCTCCTCAAGATGCGTTAACAACTTGATTCTTGTGTCGAGCTCGGCTCTTGCAGCCTAGCGGGCTGTTTGGCTTTTGGAAGAGCGTTGTTGAAGCTGTGTTTTTGTCCGTCCTGTTTCATGGTTGTTGTTGGGAAACATTTTGCATGTTTGCTTATTGTGATTTAGTGGGAAATCCCCACTCAACTGCGAAACAAATCATTTTTTGCTCCCCTTCCAACGTCAACCAAGGTTTGGTGATATGATATTCGATATGTCTCGGACAGTGTCTCAACTTCTCATTTGTTGCGCACCCTGGGGTTGGGTTAAGTCTTGTGCGCCACTTCACATGTGTTAAACACGATCCTTCTTACACCTGTCCTTTGACCGGCGCACAACACCTTGATACGTAACCTACACCTTGTATTGGTAAGAAGAATACTAGTCAGAGATAGCGAATTTCAGGCGCTCAGCAATCAGGGCTGACAGAACAAGTGGTTCCTTGCACGGGTTGAATTAATGGGTCGACCAGTCATGGCACCAGCCATTTGCGTAATTGCCCACTTAGCTCGCCATTGTAAAAGCACAAAACGCAACTGTTTGGCACTTTGGGTTTTCCTTTCAGTTCCCCTGCAACCAGCAACACAAACACCTTTTATAGGGGGTCTAAGTGTGGCCGAGGCTTCATATGCCGGTGGCCTACACCCTGCGGCTTACGGACGCACATCATATCCTGGCGCAGGCGGCAAAAGAGGCCCGGCAACGTTGGTCAAACGAAGGAAGCTCAGGGAGGTTCCCCGTTTAGCTTTTACATGTCACAAGGCAACTGGAGTCTCCACTACCCTGTAAGATGGGTTCGTGACCCCATTATTTTGGGTAATGACCAACCATGTTTGAAGGGTCATGGAGACTCCAGGCAGTTGTGGTTTTGGGGTCCGGCGTTCACTTGGGAATGATCATATCATGGATATGGTTGCCTTCTTGTGGCCCAAAAAAAGGAGCGCTATGGAATCTATGCTTCTCAGAGTGCCTACCTTGCAAGCAGCTTTTTTTGAACCAAGCGCTGGCCTAACGGAGCCGGGTCCAGGGTGAAACGAAGTGATTTGGGCAGCTTTTAGACTGCCGGGGGTTTAGGCATGACCACTTCCCAATCTAAGGAGCACACAAGCAAAGAGTAGGGGTCATTACCCTATTTTGAATGGTTATGGAAGACCCTGGGGCTCATTCCTGGCAAGATCTTTCAGGGACAACTCACCAAGCAGCTGGCCAACTCGTGCTCGTGGGAATCGAGGGTCTCGCATGATGCGTGCCGGGTATGCGTGAGATGGGGACATCTCCATAGTCAGCATCGAGCTGTACGCATCACTGCCATGATATCACATAGGTGAGCCAATAGACAAATGCTTGCTTTCTTTGTGAACCAGATTTCGCGGCTGCGATCACAGACATGAGCATTTGGCCTGACACGAATGAAATGGCCAAACCAAAACACAGCCCAAGCCACTCAGACTGCATGTACTCGGACAAAGACGGAAGTCCACGGACCTTACTTGGAGCATTACTTTCTTTCTGGACAAAAGGGGGCTTGAGCACTTCCAGGAGGAACACCTTAAACCCAGACTCAAGCATCAGAAATGAATTGCCACTTTCGTTTGTCATCACCCCTCTCTCGAGGTCTGATAGCACCACCATTACGCCCCCCTGGATCCTTTGCCAAGAAGGTCCTTTTGAGCATCCAAGTCTTATTTCAGGCTTGGGAAGTACTGTGAAGTTTTCATTTTTGTAGATAGATTCCAAGCAAAAGCAAATGTGCAACATTTAAACTTGTAACACAAATTCATGGAACATCATTAGAAGCCAAGAGTCCCACCAACGATCGTTCAACTTCTGTTTTTTTTTGGGGGGGGGTAGCAGGGGTTCTGGAGCGCCAGGCCTCTCTGCCAGTGCCTGCGATGCCAGGAAGCAGCAGGGGTCCTGAGATGTCGGAGGTCGCTTTGGATCAAACTGTGTCCCTTAGGATTGGACGGCGCCATGGTTGGTTCGTTGTTGTTTTGTTAGTTGTTCATTCTGGTCCTGCTGCGTTGTTTGTTCGGTTTTTCATGCTGGTCCTGCTGCATACATCCGGCAAGTGGTTGTTGGTAAACGACGCCTATGGTATTCCTCGGCAGGGACCAAATTTGGTTTTGCATGCTGGTCCTGCCGGAGAAAAAAAAAAACGGAGATCGGACCCGGATCAGTCTTCGAGGAAACACGAGGCGGATTTCTCGCGAAGTATACCGTCACCGGTTGGTGGTGAACGAGCGATTTGCCCGTGATGAGGGGCTGAGAGTTTGGTTTCAATTCTTGCCATCCTCCTTGGCTAAATGTGGACCGTCACCAAAATATGACAATTCTGGCTGTGCAAAAGCTAAGGTATGCTAGGGGTGGTCTTTTGCAGATAAAAGTTCTGAGGTTCCTTTTCATTTCACCTGCACACTGAGGCTTCAATCCATGCGCCTCGATGGTGCAAGCGGTTGACACCACCAGGAGCCGCGCCTGGCTGGCTGGGACGGGCGCAAGACACGTCCGAGCCTTGGTGTTGCAGTTAGGCGAAGGCAGATGGCACAACTCCCCCATTGGTGAAGTCATCCCTTTTACTTACTTGCATAGAGGGCATTGTGCCATATGTAGCAAACCATGTGTTCTTTGGGCACATAGTGTTGAATGAGTATTGGGGTTGCTAAGCGAGCTTCTTCTGTCAACATCCAGCAGAGAGCGCGGCCCCAAACCAGTTTCAGTGGCTTTCCCGGCTGACTGTGCCAAAGGAACCCATCGAACCTGCTGGTGCAATAGGGAATGAGGGAATGAACCTGGGGATTCCCGAAACAAGGAGAAACCATCGGGGATGGTTTATCTCGGGGTCCTTCATTAACCCGTGGATTCCCCTACAGGAAACCAGCAGTTGGATGGTCTATCTCGGGGTCAGACTCCATTTCTCATTCGCATCACACGGATTCGCAAGTCCGAGCCCCGGAGGAGCGCCAAAGCGCCCGATGCCTGGAAGAGCCAGGCGCGATTCGATTCTACGATGGGTGTTTTCGTGGTTTGCAGATTGAAGGGTTCGCACAGTTACTTGTTGAAGGGTGCTGCCATTTGGATGGTACAATTTCCAGGATCTCACTTGAATGGACGCAGATGGCTTTAAATCAATTGTGACATAATATGGAGAGACATTCGACCCCACCAGAGGGCTTTTCAGAAAACCTTCTCCGAGAAGTTATGAGCCGTTCCTAGGATTTAGGATTGTACATGGAAAGTTTTGTTTGGCCAGGATTGGACATTGCAAGCACGTAAAAGCGAGTTGTGTGGTTGTTGTTTTACTGACAAGTGTCATAATAGTTTGTTTTCCGTCAGGGTGTGTGTGTGTGTGTGCTATTCAGACTGGAAATTGAAGGAAGGGGGTGTACAATTGTACCATTTCTGAGCTTGTCAAACCTTGTCTGAAATTTGGCTGTTATGAGTTTGTTCCAGCTTCCGGAAGCGCAATGCCTCAGCTCACACGAACTGGCATATAGTATCGACAGTAGCTTTCGGAATCCAAACATTGACTTTGACGGTGGCTTGCATTCAATCATCGACTTTAACAGTAGCTTGACAATTCAAACAGCGGTCTTGGCAATTCTAGACAGTACCTTTTGTTTGCTGAGTTTCTTCTTTTTCTCCGGACTTTGTTCCCCCCCCCCCCCGGGGGGGGGGGGTTGCCGGTGGCCCACCGGAGGCGGACACCTTGCGGGACGAGGTGCGGAAGCGCGAGCGAGAGCTGCGAGAAGAGGCGCGTGGTCCGTGACTCGGTGCCCGGGAGCGGCAGTGGGAGCGGCGCTCGGTCGCTGAGAACCAAGCGTCTCGTCCGCAGACACCCAGTAGTTGGTTGCTTGGTTGGTTGGTTGCTTGCTTGGTGATTTGGTTGATTGCTTGGTTGGTTGCTTGGTTGGTTGCTTGGTGTGTTGGTTGCTTGCTTGGTGATTTGGTTGATTGCTTGGTTGGTTGCTTGGTTGCTTGGTGTGTTGGTTGCTTGCTTGGTTGATGGCTTAGTTGGTTGCTTGGTTGGTTGGTTGCTTGGTTGGTTGGTTGGTTGCTTGGTTGGGGTTGGTTGATTGCTTGGTTGGTTGCTTGGTTGCTTGGTGTGTTGGTTGCTTGCTTGGTTGATGGCTTAGTTGGTTGGTTGGTTGGTTGGTTGGTTGGTTGCTTGGCTGGTTGCTTGCTTGGTTGGTTGCTTTGTTGCTTGGTTTGTTGCTTGGTGTCTTGTTTGGCTGGTTGCTTGGTTGCTTGGTTGCTTGGTTGCCTGGTTGGTTGGTTGGTTGGTTGGTTGCTTGGTTGCTTGGTTGCTTGGTGTGTTGGTTGCTTGCGTGGTTGGTTGGTTGGTGGTTGCTTGGTTGGTGTCTTGGTTGGTTGCTTGGTTGGTTGCTTGCTTGGTTAGTTGCTTGGTTGCTTGGTTGCTTGGTTGCTTGGTTGGTTGTTTGCTTGGTTGGTTGGTTGGTTGGCTGGTTGCTTGGTTAATTGCTTGGTTGGTTGCTTGCTTGGTTGGTTGGTTGGTTGGTTGGCTGGTTGCTTGGTTTATTAATTGCTTGGTTGGTTGGTTGCTTGGTTGGGGTTGGTTGGTTGCTTGGTTGGTTGCTTGGTTGCTGAGTTGGTTGGTTGGTTGCTTGGTTGCTTGGTTGCTTGCTTGCTTGGTTGGTTGGTTTGTTGCCCGGTTGATTGCTTGGTTGGTTGCTTGGTTGGTTAGTTGGTGGGTTGCTTGGTTGGTTGCTTGGTTGGTTGGTTGGTTGGTTGGTTGCTTGCTTGGTTGGTTGCTTGGTTGCTCGTTTTTTACTACCTGAGTATATGGATTTGTTTACTTTTTGGGAAAACCAGTTTGGTGGTAAACGAAAAGTTTGGACGTTTTTAGGCCTACTCAGGCAGTAGTTGGTTTGAGAAACTGGCGGAAGGGTTTGTCACCAACCCCGCTTTGGCTGCAAGGGTCTGGAAAACAGGCGAACAACCACCCACCCCCTGTTTGGTTTCAAAGATAGGTGAAACATACAAAGCCAAGATGGTTGGCATTTTAGCACCCGGGAGCCAAGTCGATTTCTTTTCCTCCCTTTGGTTTGGGTGCCTTTAGAATCAATCGGGTAAAGACGGCTTTTTGCCGACCCAGTCTGCCCCAGGAATTCCCAGGTTTGCCGCTCTGTTTGATGAATCGGCAGGTGTCCAACCTTTAGAGTCCAACCTTTACTTTTGGAGGCCATGGATATTTGTAAGTACGGATGGGTGGAAGACTGGCCACGCATCTTGGGAAATCCGTATCAAATGTGAAGCTAAGGAGCCCCCGCTACCACGATCACTGAGCAGAAGTCGACGGCAGAACTCAGAAACGTTGGCTTCATGATGTTCGACAGAAAGGGAGCTTTGCCATCTACTGACATCCTAGTTTACATTCCTGGCAAAACGGTTGCCCGTGAGATGGCGCTTGAAGCGCTCATGTGATCCTTACCAGAGAGACAGTTGGTCATGTGACCTCCGAGTGATTCTGATCTTGGACCCTGCGGCGCATTGCCCGGACGAGGCTGTAGACGAGGCTGGCGTGGATCTACTGGTTGACTTGGACTTGCCTGCGTTTGTTGAGGGATCCTCGGATGGCTAAGAGTCTAGCCATCAACGCATCAGCCGCTGCCAGTCCTTTGCCAAGCGCGCAGGTTGCCTCTCCAGGCAAGAGCGGCAAAAGAGCGTCTCCTACGTGAGAGGAGGAACTCTCCTCGCCTGAAACTCTTCGCAACCAGCAAAGCCGAAATTCTCATTGCGGACAGAGCGCGGGAGTCTTCCAAAGACATTTTTCAAAAACTTCCAAACCCGCGCCCCCAGGCTTTTCGAAAGGGTACCTTCTCAACCAAATCGCGGTAGGCGATCTTTCCTTGGTGGTTCCCAGCCATCCCCTTAGCTTTTTGGCCTCTGAGTGTTTTCGTTGTTTTTTCCATTCAACCCACTAAAAGTTTGTCACTCTTACCGGCGGTTTCTAACTGGGCGGCCCAGTTCCACGTTGTTTTTCCGCAGGTTTCACCCGATCCTCCCATGGCCCCCATCTCGCCCTCCCTCGCCGCGCACGCGCCAAAACGAGAGCGGCAGGTGGAGAGCGCCCCGGCGGTGGCGCTGCACCCCGCGGCGCCGGGGCCTTGGAGTTGCCTCGTAACCCTTATACAAATTGGTTAGTCATGACCCAAGACCCATTTTTTAAGGGTCATGGAGACTCCAGGAACCCATGTGGCTGTGGGTCAAAACCAAGGGGATCCCGTGTTGGGATAGGTGCACCACCCATGTTAGTCTAGTGGTGATTGGGATGTTCACTGGGGTTGCGGGGTTTTGACCCATGGCCATTTGGGTATGGGTCAAAATCAAGCCACCAAGAATTGGACCAACCCATTTGGCTGTGGGTCAAAACCAATGGGATCCCATGTTGGGATAGGTGCACCGCCACCATGTTGGTCTAGTGGGGATTGGGATGTTCACTAGGGTTACGGGGTTTTGACCCATGGCCATTTGGGTATGGGTCAAAATCAAGCCACCAGGAATTGGACCACAGGTTTAACCCATTTGGCTGTGGGTCAAAACCAATGGGATCCCATGTTGGGATAGGTGCACCACCCAGGTTAGTCTAGTGGGGATTGGGATGTTCACTGGGGTTGCGGGGTTTTGACCCATGGCCATTTGGGTATGGGTCAAAATCAAGCCACCAGGAATTGGACCACAGGTTTAACCCATTTGGCTGTGGGTCAAAACCAATGGGATCCCATGTTGGGATAGGTGCACCACCCATGCTAGTCTAGTGGTGATTGGGATGTTCACTGGGGTTACGGGGTTTTGACCCATGGCCATTTGGGTATGGGTCAAAATCAAGCCACCAGGAATTGGACCACAGGTTTAACCCATTTGGCTGTGGGTCAAAACCAATGGGATCCCATGTTGGGATAGGTGCACCACCCATGTTGGTCTAGTGGGGATTGGGATGTTCACTGGGGTTGCGGGGTTTTGACCCATGGCCATTTGGGTATGGGTCAAAATCAAGCCACCAGGAATTGGACCACAGGTTTAACCCATTTGGCTGTGGGTCAAAACCAATGGGATCCCATGTTGGGATAGGTGCACCACCCATGCTAGTCTAGTGGTGATTGGGATGTTCACTGGTGTTACGGGGTTTTGACCCATGGCCATTTGGGTATGGGTCAAAATCAAGCCACCAGGAATTGGACCACAGGTTTAACCCATTTGGCTGTGGGTCAAAACCAATGGGATCCCATGTTGGGATAGGTGCACCACCATGTTGGTCTAGTGGTGATTGGGATGTTCACTGGGGTTACGGGGTTTTGACCCATGGCCATTTGGGTATGGGTCAAAATCAAGCCACCAGGAATTGGACCACAGGTTTAACCCATTTGGCTGTGGGTCAAAACCAATGGGATCCCATGTTGGGATAGGTGCACCACCCATGTTAGTCCAGTGAGGATTGGGATGTTCACTGGGGTTATGGGGTTTGGACCCATGGCCATTTCGGTATGGGTCAAGATTTTGAACCAACGGGAATTGGACCATTTGTTTTGTCCATGTTTCCATTCATCAGGGTTCCATTTTGGGGTTACCCTATTTTTGACCCACAGCCAATTCAAGACTCAAGGAGTGTCTTTCAAGTGGTGGTGTAATCGTGCCTGCCGCGTGTGCCGGAATCGGTGTTGGTGCATCGTCAGTCTCTGAAGCCACATCCTTGGGCTCCTCCTGCTGGGCTTGGCCAATCAACCAGGTTCCTTGCTTATATAGCTTTGGTCCCTCCCGACTACTTGTGGAGCAACCCGCTAGGTTCCTTGGTTACCTGTTTGGTCGCTCCCTGCTACTTGTGGAGGAATGCTGGAAGTCAGTATAGCCGTGTTAATTCCTTAACACTACTCCAACCCAAAACGGAGCATTTTTATATGTGTCTAGTGGTTGGTTCCTCACTATGTTCACCAGCCGTTAACCGATTTGTGTTTTAATTTTATAGCGCGGAGACGAGCGACTACCCATCACGTAGGTCCTTTATTTGGAGACCCAACTCTTCTCTTAGGGTTTCGCATTGGTGTAGAATAGACGTAGATGGTTGTTTTGCCCAGATTTGCTGACAGGCTCCAAACCCTTTGTATGTAGAGCCAAACAACAACTTCTGTGGTCCCCCAGCTCCTTTATTTGGCTGATAGTCTGGCTTGCTCTTGGTAGGAAACATCCGGTGTCAGGTTCATGTCCGTGTGAAGGGGTTCCCTGCCGCTGAAAGGTTTGGGAAATGTACTGCCCCTTGAAACCGAGCTGGCGTTGAATCATATCGAGCGCTTCAGCGGCCCTTCCGCGTCACGAGCAGTTCTTGGCCGCCGAACCGACAACGGCAAGAGTGAACACGTGCGATGCCAAATCTCAAAATGGCGGTTCATGGAAGGAAGCCCACGGATGAGCCCTGGATAAATGACAGCAGGCATGATTTGTGGAAGCTACCCTTGCAGACCGCCCAATCCCGGAAGGGTCGGAAGGCTAAATTATTTGACCAAGAAACATCAGAAACATCGCGTGCTTCAGCCAAAAGAAGAACACCAACATGACCCTTGCCCCTGTGGTTCTGGGAACAACCATGCCCGCACGATGCCGGGTTGCTTGTATGTCTGTTTTTGCTTGATGATCTAAGCATGATCTGTTTGTTAGATATGTTGAAGTGAGCTAGCTTACTTTGGTGAGGGATACTGCACTGACAAATGTGTGTGCCATTTTAAAAGCCCCCGGGTTCATGGGTTTGATCATATAGGAATAGTCATGGGCCCTTCCCGGAGCTTCGGGGCCGCAGGAGCTCTTCCCATGACTCATACTTGGATGTTCAACCTACGTAGTATGTTATAACCATGGTTATGCGTCAACCAATCCCTGCGGCAAACAACGCCGTGTTCGAAGCCGCTTGCTTTAATGAGTAGGTCAGCAACCCCTCTTAGTACTCCCCAATGTACTGGCGAACTCCCAGGCCATCTAAGTCAGACATGAACACAGACACCAGCAAACCACGCATTTGACCAGCGACTGGCTTTCCTTGAGGCGACTGGGGATTGCTCCTTCACTTTGATTGTCCCCTTGGCCTTGGGGGCAAACCACACTGGCCTGGGGTCCAAGTGAAATTTTGAATCCCAAAAGAGAGGCAAATCCAAAGCACACGGTTTGTTGATCTTGAAGGGAACACCCGCCAGCAACATCAGAGACACGGAGCAACCTACCCCCCTGACCTTGGGGCCATGAGGGGCATCACTCCGAAGACGACCCGTCGAGCCGCGTCGCGCCGAGTCGTGCTTTGGAGGGGCAGGCGACGTGGAGGAAGTGGTTGGCCATGGTCATAAATTTGTAACCTACATCATGTCCATAAGTGTAAGTCCACCAAGTAAGTGGTTAGCCATGCTATAACCACTGCTAAGTTTGTCCATGTTTCTTTAAGTCCAAGTGGGTAACCTACCGGCCCTCTTGCCTGGACGCATGGGGGTTTCCCTCTCCAAATCTCTCCAACTTCCCACTGCCACGTGGCACTGTTTTTTGCTGAGCCGTTGCACCCCACTTGGCCTGACGTGACGCCCCCCGCCCCCCGGTGAGGTTCTGGCTCTCAGCCGGGCGTCGCCTGGAGGAGGTGATCCGAGAGGCGGAAGCGGCCGCAGAGGCTGAGGCCGCGTCGAGACATAGCGCTGGTTGAGGGAGGGGTTTCTAGATCTAGGTATGGGTGAAAATGTTCAACCAGGAGTTGGACCACAGGTTTAACGGTTAAAGTACCTTTTTGACCCACACTCATTTCTTCGCCTTTTATTTCCACTTGCGGCCTTTTTTGCCACTTTTCTTCATGTTGTGCATTCATGTCTTTGGCGATTCCGTGTTTTTGCCGGTGGTTTGTTTGGTCGGTGTCCTTTTTTGCTGCCGGTTTGTTCTTCATTGGTTCTTGACCTGCCGCAACTGCCCCAGTTCCAATTGCTTTTCAGCTTTATTTTTGGGAGAGGGTTTCCATTATAATCAACCAACCAACACAGGGTGTTTTACAAGTTGCGAGCCCACCAAGGGGCTTGCGACCAACAGATGCTTCCGTTCTTGGGACTTCTGAGGGCTGTGAATTGAACTAGTTCTTGATTGCCCAGATTGGTCTGCCATAGTCATAACGAGCTTACTGGCCTCTGTGGGGAACAAGTCTTCTTGGTGCTCATTGTTTGTGGGATGGGGGATGGGAAACCCTGTTTGCTTGTCACTGTTTGAGATGGGCCCAAAAGAATGTCACGCTGTTCCTAGATGAAGCTCGATTGAAATTCATGTCATGTAAGCAGCTAGCTTCTCAAAACATACTTAGCACACACACACACACGAGGGTACCCTGAATGCGGAATGCTTTTTCGGGGAAGCAACCCCACTCATTTCGGGGTTCCTTGCAGAGAGCCCGTTTGTTTCCTGGCTTCCCATACTATGTGAGTGGGACAGGGAGAATTACACGAGAATGACGTTTTCGTGGCTAGCTGATTAGGATCCCGGCCAAACCGCAAAGCCTAGAAGCTTGGTATTTGGGCTCCCGTGGTTTCCTTTTCCGACCGGATTTGTACCCTTATGACCGGGTGTTGGAGCAACCCTATTGATACACGGGTTTAGTTCAAGTTAATTCAAACAGACCCGCCTTGGCTGAACGGCTGAGAAATGGGTCAGCGTGAAAATCGGGTGTCCCTTTTAATCAACACAAAGTGGGTGCGGAGTCTCAAAAAGAGAATACCTATCTCCATTCATTTTGACTTGGCAGGAGAAGGCTGCAGACAACCACCTCCTCAAGGAGCAGGCGGGCCGACTGAAGAAAAGCGGGGCAGGGACAACTTACAAACTAGACTGGTTGTGCTTATGGGTGATCCACCGGGTGCCAAATAGCCAATTCCTTTTTTTTTTTGCCACGGTAAGCCAACAGGAATTGGCTACTAATACAATAGTCGTTTGTTTTTCCAGACCCCGCTGTTTAGCACCCAGACTAGCACAGTCTCCAAGGTATCAAAGAGAAGCATACGCTTTGGAGGCATGCATGTCCAGACAACCAAAGCCAAGCCTTAGAATGTGTCCTTGCCTTGTTCTGGATGCACCTGCTTCTTGTTCCCCGTGTTTGTCCAATTCATTTGAGCAAATGACTGAAATGATAGAAATGCGGCAAACCCTTTCATTCGGAACCGGATAATTTTGCTAGCTGATTTGCGAATCATGTTTCTTCACCGTTGTTTGTGTCATTTGACGCTCCAAAAGTGCAGCCCAATTCCGTTGCCTACAGCAAGCCATCACCTTGCACGGTGTTGTGTGCGTACGGTTTCCACCGCAGCGGTGTATTGTTGGGGGATTCGGTGTTTCTTTTTGTGCGACAAGCTTACCTTTGCTACTCAGATTAGTATGGAACACCTAATAGCCTCATGAAGAGGAACCTTCTTGGGGATGCCCTTTTTGCATGTTGATCTTGCTTCGGGATGCCATTCTCCGATGTGTGATTTAAGCCTCCCGAGAGAGACACCTATTGGGGCAGTAGCTTTGGAGGTTTGCCTTTTGCTTTCTCCCGGCAAAAGGAAATCACATTGAGAATCCTGCTGCTAAACCCTGAGCGGGTTTTATCCATGCGGAGTCAACCATCCGGCTCTGTATGTGTAGATCGTGCACGTTTTTCCATCTGTTGCCTCGTGTTCGTTCGAAATCAGGCAGTTGCTTTCGGTCGGCCCTGCAACCCCAGTCCGGCCTTCTCATTTCACATCTAGGAAGAGAAAGCGAGGATTGGTCATGGCAGCTTTCCCAGCGCGGAGCAACGTGGCGCATTTTGCGGGCTTCATGTTGGTGTGTCAGTCTTACGCATTTGCATATCTATCCGCTTCACAAAGGCTAGGCCAATAGATGTTCTTTCGGAGACCCTTCCCGAATCGGGGTGACCGCATTCTTGGGCCCGGAGATCCATTCCCATCTCTGCATGTGCAAGAGCTCCTTTCCACGATGTCCATAGGTCTGGGTGAATAACGACCGACCTCACACGACCGAATTCACCAACCAAATGGTGGTTGATGTGGGGCTATTCCCCAACCGCCTTAAGTTTCAGGTTAGTGAGATATATAATTCACCCAGCTAGGTGAATAGACGGAAGTCGGCTCCGAACCCATGGGATGAGAAAGGCCACGGGGGCTGGGCTCTCCGGCTCCGATCGACGCAGGTGGCCTCGGCGAAGATGGCCATCTCAGGGGGCGGCCCGGGACCAAAGCCAGGGGCGTCGCTCAATTTCCCTTTTGTGGGTTGACATCTGGTTGACATCTGGTTGACATCTGTGTTTTTCTTGAGGTTAGTCAACATAAGTCAAATACTGGGGATGGTCATCAACCGTCTTAGGCGGTTCATCAACGTCTTAGGAGGGATTGGTAAACAAGAAGAAGAAGACACAACTTGGTAGAAGTACTAGGACCCCCAAAAGTAGGTGTTTTGAACATGATGGTCATTAACATGACCATGGCCTCCATGGACATAAGGAGTTTGTGTCACAAGTGGCAAGACCGAAAGGAAAGTCCAAAGGGGTGTCGGCCGGTGTCCTTGTGTCTGCAAGGGAAGCATGTTTTATGAAGGTTAGAGCCCCTGTGCCGTGAGCATGCTGACATGACAGCAGACCAGATGGAGGGGGCCAGGCTCGCCCGGATTTTGTGCTTGGCAACTGCTTGACGGACCATCTATCGTTAGGAGCTTTGGTATCTTGAAGTTTGTGCTCCTTCGTTGGTTTGATTTCAACAACACCCTGGGCAAGTTCACTTGTGCAGTGAATCGCAGCAATGTTGCGAAGCCCTAGCCCTGGGGATCTGCCACCTGATTGCAACCAGCCTGAACAAGCAGCACTTACATCCTTCGATGCCACAGTCAGAATGCAAAGATCACAATCCTTCTACATACTACAAGTTTTAGAGACATATATATATATATATATATACATACAAGACCCACATTTTGAAGTTGTTCGAACAACTTAGGTTGTCACCCATTGATTCAATATTCCCAGACCTGGGGAACGTGTCCATAACATGCTGAATCCTGGCACCCCAAACATGTGTGCTGAATATGTTCCCTGATACGTCAAACTTCAATATAGACTGAGCACTTTCAAGTTTCTGCAATTGGTTCAAGATTCACGGTTCAAGAGCAAGCGTTTTGAACAGCTTGGAAGTTTCTATCCTTCGATCCAAGATTCACGATTTCCTCTCACATTTGGTCAGATTGTTGAATCACGAATCTTGGCAAAACAGGGCAAACAGCAGCTGTGTGCTAAGGTATTGTTTTTTGTTTTTTTGTGTGCTAGAATTCAAGTGTCCTGGAACTCTTGTCAGGGGAATTTGTTAAGCCAATGTCCAACAGGTTTTGGATTCCACACACGCCTATGAACACGGGAAACATTCTTGCAGATGTGGGATGGCTGCCTTTGCGTTGTGACTGCAGTATTAAAGGATGTGAGTGCTGACCTGGTGCCTGTCCATGAGGTACCCAACTGGGAAAAGCAAAACACGAAATGGAAAGACACAGGCAGTGGGAAAGGTAGCACTCATTCTTTATGGTCCTCATGTTTGGCCTGCACAAGAAACATTCTCAGTGAAAGGGTCAGCAAGAAGTGAAACCCAATTGCATGATTCTGTGCATCAGGCGCATTGACGAAAACCTTCTGACCATGCAACCAGGCCTGTGTACCATAGTCAAAGGACATTCCTACCTGGAGTCTTCATGACCCTTGAACAATGGGTCCATGACCCCATTATTTTTGGGTAATGACCAAACATTTTTCAAGGGTCATGGAGACTCCAGGTATATTCAGGGAACCTTGTGACCAGTGAGGATCTTCAGCCCAGAGTCTGGTTCTCCCATCGCTCGCTCCCGCTCGGCTCGGCTCGGCTCGGATCGGATCGAGACGCCGCTCAACGAAGGCACCTTCGAGAGCGCGGATAAGAAGCGGCTGCAGCAGCTTCAGCGAGCCAAGGCGTACAAGGCCTCGCCCGTCGCACGCGGTCTGTTTTTTGTCTTTTTTGCGTCGAAGAAAAAAAAGTCCATTTCGCTGCCAACGGCACGGTGCCGACCGGGAAACACGGGAGTAGCAAGAAGGGCTCGAAGTTTGGCCGGTCGTTTTTTTCTGGCTCAAATTTTGAGCGCACGTGGCGGTTTCGATGGCCAGAATCGAGGTCAAGGAGAGTGATGTGCGCTCCATGCCCCTTGCGTCGGACCAATCCCTTTGCATCGTATGCAGGGCTTGTATGGGGAATGCATCCAGAGTTTGTACAGCGACCAAAACGGCAAGCTCGCTGAAGTCCGTGAGACTTTTCCGGGCCAACAGTGTTGAGATGCAGATTTTTTGACGTGCTTTCCACACTTGCTTCTTGTTTGCTTGCCTTCCTACTTGCCAGCTCGCTCGCCTGCTCGCTTGCCTGCCTGTTTGTTTCCAGCTTGATGGAAAAGGTTGCGGGAGCCTTATTTTGGGATAGACCCACAAGTTGCTCGTAATTCTTCATCGGACGCAGCCTGATGCCTGCTGGAAGAACTTATTGCTTGATAGAACAGCCGATTGATATTTTGTTTACAGTTGTCCCGTGGGTTCGATGCTTCTCCCTTAGAGATAACCAGGAGACGTATAGACGTGATTTTGTTTGTTTGCCTGACATTTGGCATTCGCGTGTGCTGGACTTGCATGGGTCAAGTTACGTGCGGGCCGTCTTGACTTTTTTGCCACAAGGATACTTTCTTGAATGAGAAATAATGAAGACACATGGAGTTGAAGCACTTGAACTTCACAGCAACCACCAACCTAAGCAGTGGTACATGGCTACAGTTGAGTTCCAAGAGGCATTGCTCCCCAACTCCGGATGGCCCTTCCTCATCCGGAAGTGTCGTGCGCCAACGTGTGTTTTGGGGACCCAGTTTTTCCAACCCCCCAACCACTCTACATGGCTCTCGGTGTTTGTCCGAAACAGGTTGGTGGACAGGGTCGCCTCGGTGCTTTTTTTGCCCACCGCGCAGTCTTGTGTGCTGCGCATCGTCTGCCCAGACAAGTCTGTGCTGCAGGCGGTGAAGTGTTTCGCTTGGCGTTGAGGGCAGCCCGGGAAATGTGTTGGATGTGCTTGTGTGCGTCGGTGTTTTGAGGATACTGTATCCTTTCTGGGGTTGCTTCGAGGGGAAGCGAACGGGAAACCACCCATCTCGGGACTCCCCCCGTCAGAGACACACCATTTTGGCCAAGGTAAATTTTTGGTGGACCAATCTGGGTCAGCCACGAATTGAAACCAGTGGTTTTGCTTTGTCTTGCACTTTGTTTGAACCCCAAGGTAGGCAATGGGTGGGCTTGTTCTTTGGGAGTCATTATTTGCAGGTACTAACCTTCACTTAGGCTTTGATGTTTGCGAGCCTGGGATCATTGTTCATCGAGATAGCACAGTGTGTAGCGCTTGCTTGCTGAGAAGACACCCCTGTGTGACCTTGTTTTCACTCACTGTTGCGTGTAGTAAATAGTCCTTCAGTTGCTTTCCAACATGAGTAAGATGGAAACAGAGATGCTGATCAGATGTTTCACCATCAGCTGATGAGAGAGGATTTCAGTTGGCGGTGAAAGGAGAAACAGGCCCACTACCCCCCGGAAAGGTGAACTCTTGTAAGAAACCCAAGGTTCAAAGAGCCTTTTCCTGGGGATGGGGGCTACTTGAAGTGAGAGTTGGTTCGGTTGCTTTTCCAGTCGCATTTCTGGCGGACGTGGGATTGGGAGAGTGGCACATGTTTGGGGTGAGACACGACTGCCCTCGTCCCCTTGGATGTTGTTAAGATACTGCGTGTTAAACATCATCTGTACGGACTGTTTACCGGCCGGGCGTTCAGCAGTCCACAACAACAAAACCGCCTACGAATCTCACTCAGTCAATGGCAACACCAGCAACCGTGTTTATATAGGGTCATCCCGCCCCGGATCTGATTTTGCACATCGTTCTCTTCCCCGGTCAAGTTCAAAGCAGAACACTTTTTGCACGCCCTTTCGCGCTCTCCGGTATCTACTCTGCTACAAGAAGGGTCCAGTCGTATATGGAGACATCTGGTCAAGGAAGTGTTTAGTTTGTGTGATTAGCCATGGTTTATATCATCATCAGGGACGTCGCGTTAGTGACCGACCTGTGGTGTTTTGGCTCAAGATTTTGGGTTCCGTCGCGCCTCGAATGGGCGTCGCCGAACCCCTGCGTCGACCGACGGCATCTCGGGGGAGAAAGAGACCTCGGGCCGCCGCCAGGTTGGTAGGGACCAGTCGTGCGGCCTGTTGTCGACCAAGGTTGCGGGTTAACCCTTTTCTTGTTTGGTTTGTTTCCTTTTGGTTGTTGTTCTCTGGTGTGTGGGAAACCCTGATCTTTGGGACCGGGGATTGGTTTGCTTTTGGGGAACCTTTCTTTTGTGGCTTGTTTACCCCAACTTACCCATTGCCTGGGCACAGGCTCGTGCCCGAATCACAGGTTATCAGCCGTAGGACTTTCCTACGCGCTTGAGACCATCAACTACAAGCTCTATGTCGACCCCACGATCTCGCAGGAGCGTCGTGGATGAGGAGGCCATCCTAGGTGGCCTCCGCTCAGGTGAGGACCTACCGGACTATGACTACGAGGATTTCGAAGCAGGTTCAACAGGTCAGGACCGCAGGGGTGAAGATCCCGGTAGGGATACACCCAGGAGCCGTGGCAGGTACGCCGACGATGGAGACGATCGTATTTTCCGCCAGGCCACTGATGACGAGCAGACACGAAGGGTTTACTCCGGTAGGAGTGGCTCTGAATCAGGTCATAGACGTGGACGTTTTGACTTCATCAGCATGGCGATGGACATGGCCCGCCCTCATTCGGATGACCCGGAGGCCATGCCGATTCGACCTCCGAGATCTCTTGTTCCAGGTGAGTCGCAGGTCTCGGATGAGTTTGAGAATAGGCCGCAGGGACCAGGGACTATGGTTCTGGCTCCGGGAGGTATCCCGGGCCGATCCACTGGTTCTCAAAATCCAGGTCAGTTTGATGAGCACGAGGAGCGGAAATTCACGGACTTCGGATACGATGATCTGTTGAAATCAACCGCAGGTTGGGGCAGTAGCTCAAAGCAGGGATCTGATGCCGGTAGGCCCAACCCTAATACTGCCAAATCTGAGTCTTATGATGGCGAAGATTACAATTTTGCGGATGAGGAGGAGAGCCATTCGCGCCGAGATGCAGGCAGCCGTGAGACTGCAAGGACTAGTCCCGCCGCTGCCAAGTTTGAGGTCGATGATGATGACGAGTATGCCGCATTTGCGGATCGCCGTGATGAGGAGGAGGACCAACCACGACGAAATGCTAGGATCCGTGATGCTGCGAGGCCCAGGAGCCTCTCTCGTGGAGCCGCCAGGGACCTTCGCGTTGACAGGGATGCCCGAAGCGAGAGAGAGAGAGCCAGGGACAGTCGGGAAGTTCTTCGGGGATTGGAGGCCATTCATGACCGCGAGGGACCGGTAGGTCCCCCGGCGATTGGTGATTCCCCGAATGTTCCCCCCTTTCCCAACATCACATTTGGAGGTCCGTTGAGTCAGAGAGACGTGAACTCGAACCGGGTTACTGGTTCACCGAGGATCACTGAGCGGGCTGCCGATGTTGTTAGGACAGGTGCCAGAGATGGTCGGCTTGCCGATGCACTCGGGATCGAAGATCATCCGTCGATCGCTAGCCCGTTAGGGCGAGATACCAGTGATCTTGAAACTCTGAGGTCTAGCAACGAGTTCACACCTCAATGGGGTTCGACTGCCAGGGAACGTAGTGTTTCTGCGAAAAGACCGTCACCTCTCGCCGCTGAGACCGATAGGTCAAAGGCGAGGAGGGCTAGCCCCTCACCGATGGATTCAACTCCGCAGGATGAGGAGATGCCCGATCCCGCTGATGTTCACATTCACTCCACCCCCGAGTCACGTGCATCCAACATTGATCCTCGATCTGGCGATAGCCGGAGAAGGGGATCTACCCCGAGTAGACCATCCAGGATTGATGATTGTCCCGTGGATGACCCCAGAAGACATGCCGGGGCTAGTGGGGCTCCTGAGAGGATCGAGATATCGACTCCTCCCGCCCTCAGATCCCAGTCTTCCGGCGAATCAGGTGACGCTAGGGCGAAGGAGGTGTTCGATTTGCACATCCAGGAGATGCTCGAGAGAGGTGAGGTTTCTGGCTCAGTCGCGAAGGCGTTCCACATCTTTGCTGACCAAATCAGGGTACTGAACGGTCAGGTGAGTTCCATGCGAAGGGAATGGAGCGACGAGAGTCAACGGACGAAGGACAAGGTCGATCGCCTGGCAGCTGAGGTTGCGACTCAATCTGATGCCGGGAGGATGCGAATGATAGTTCAACGGTTCGCAAGGGAAGTTATTCCCGATAGCAAGGCCATTGTGAGGCAAGCCATCGATGAGCAAGCCGAGGTCGTGGAGCAGAGGATTAACCTACTGTCCCACGAGGTCCATGAATCTGTCAGGGACAATGAGGCATCGACTGATCGGCTTCGCCTGATGATTCAGGAGAATAGTGAGGCTGCCCGCAGAAGCCATGCTGCTTCTGAGGACGAGACCCTTAAGGATTTGGACAAGCTTGAGAAACGGATGTTCTCGGTAGAGAAAACCGTTGGGATGCGGACACCGGCAGGTGTATGGAACCCGAATCCTGTCGCGAATCTGTCCGATAGGGCCAGCAGCAGTGTGGTTGACGCGAATTTCAGGGAGTTAAACCTGAAGATTGAGGAAGCTCTCCTTGAACACGAGAAGTTTGCTAAGTGGGCCTCTGAATCTATTGAAGGGGTCAAAGAAGAGCACACTCGCCTTGTTAATCGAGTGTCTAGACTGCAGAGTGGAAGGGGTTCTCAGGAGGTCGATAGACCATCAGGGCATGATTCCCCGCAGGACTGGCATGAGGCTGTTGACGAGATCAATCGGAAGATGCATGATCTGGCTCGAGGAATTCAACGTCAACGTCGGGATCATGACGACATCATCTTGAGGTTTGAAACCGTGAAGTCACATGTTGAACAGTATGAAGCGAGATCGGCAATTGTGAATCGGGTCGTTGATGGCATCCAAGGGCAGATCCGTAACCTTCCTGCCAGCAGTGACCAAGTGCAGCCTGCCGTTAGGCGAGAGCTCGGCACATTCCGGAGTACACTTGAAGGTGTTATGCGGAGAGTCAGCGCTATCGATGGTAACGTGCGTAACCTTAGCGCCGCGAACAACAGAATCATGTCCCAGCTCTTTGAAATGGAGGGTCAATTTGACGAGGCTGCTGGCATGCTTCAGGGTGTCCAGCAGATTAATGAAGCTCCTCCACAACCCAGAGAAAGACGGAATGTTGGTTACCATGCGTTTGCGGGGCAAGGACATAGGATCAGGTCACCGACGCCTACACCAGGGGAGGGTGACGGCCGGGGTACTGGCCTGCCGGTAAGACCAGGCGAAGGCGTTATTTTGCCTGATCATGTTTTGCCGAATGTGCCCGATAGGGTCGATCCTTCTCGCGCAGACAGGCATCCCATCTATCCCGTTAGGGAGAGGTCCGACAGCAGGAGCAGGAGGGTTCGGGGGTTGCCTGACAGGTCGCATTCGCCACCGGAGCGTGCAAGGGGTGGTCCCCGCGCGCGCGCAAGGGGGGACGTTTCTATTTCCCCCAATAGGGATGCGGGTAGGAATAGGAGCCCGAGGCCTGCTGCCGCCCCCGATAGGGGATCTGAGGCCCGGAGTCGACAACCGAGGGGGGAGAGGCCGATCCGCGAGCGTCTCTCCGAATTTTGATAGGCCAATCCGCGATAGCGGAAACGTCTCTCCGAACCCAGGTCGTCATTCAGGAGGTGGTGGGGATAATAGGGCCCATGCCGACATCCAGAGTCCTGGTGATGAGTGGAGGACTCCTGGGAGCAGAATCAGCGCCGACAACCAGAGTCCCGGCGATAGGCGAGGGACTGCTGGAGCTCCTTCGGATCGTGGACAGGCCTCAGCGCCGGCTGCAAGAGGGGCTCCCGGCGGTGATGGCCCAGACGCGC